TTATTTTTAAAAATTTATTTATAAATTAACTTTTATTAATAATTAATAATTATAATAATAAATGTATTTTTTTAAATATATTATATTTTAATTTATTTATTATATTTATTAAATATTTAAAAACTTTTTAATATTTTTAATTATATAATAATATATATAATAAAAAATATATTTTAATATATTTTACGATTTAAAATAATAAAATAAAATAAACTATTTAATAATTACGGTTAAAGTTAATAAGCGTTTTATATAAATAAAACCTTTAAAAGCGATTTTCGTATTTAATAACAGATCTTACTTCGGTTACTTAAAAAGAGGTACATAAGTAAATCACATGCATTCTATAGATTAATATACTTAAAATATGTACCCTTATGTAAGGTGCCGTCATAATGCATGTTAACAGGCTCTAGCGGTGCTACCTACATATTATTTGTAGTAATATTACATACCAGTCATAGCGCTTTTACCCCCGGGGTCCCAACCTTAGAACAGATCGACATTCCCTTTCACCCCTCCCAACCAGCGAACTTACATCCAACAGGCAGGCAGTCGTTATGTGCATAAGGTGATTAGCATATACATATAGTGAATTCTTCAATGAATGCATTCTACAATAGATTGGCCTTTATTCACTGTTAAACCCTCGAAAAATAACTGACTGCATTGTTCCTTTTGTCAGTCTTATAGAATAAGCTTACAATAACGCTACCTATGTAGGTATAGACAGGCCAGGCAGGTGTATCTACATCTCCACTCACACCCGCCCACTCGATGGGAGAGCCGCTTCGTCCGTAGCGGCAGATGGCGGCAACCTGACCTTGTCCCATGTGCCCATTGCTATGTATCACCGCCTGATCACCTGCGCAATGCAAGCCGAACCCTCAATGGACACGACCCCCATTTACAGACATCTTGAATTATCTTATTGGCTTAACACGGACCTTGTCATTAGCACGCTATTCTCACTAGGCAAATCCTCACTTGTAAATCGCTAATCCTTGGATAGTAACATCTTTATTACTACTACTGAGGGGGTTGTTGTTTTGAGTTGGCGCGGAGAGGTAAATGGATATAACAAGGTGTTGGGTAGCTTCATTTGTTTTTGAGACTTACCTCATCTCTCTTTGTAGGCTTCGGAATAAGTTGGACTTTTCAATATTGGTCCATGCTTTACCGTGCTTTACCGAGTCTAGAGCCGTAACTCCTTGTATTAGAAGGCGTATAGATTTAACAGCGCCATCGGTGAAGCCTATTCCTGTCGAGAATAGTCGGGAAAGATGGCAGGGGAGGAGAAAGGGATACCAAAGGGCCCACGGGAGACATTCTTCCGGAGAAGGGCTAATGCTGATACTGATGGGGAGCGTCAGAAGACCGAAAAATCTAAATGGAGCATGGGAATGCTGAATGATAAAAAGACTATAGAAGTTCCAGGCGAGTTATCACCGCTTGAATCCTCCGATTCTAGACTAGGTCTAATATTTCACTTAGGATCTATCTTGCTCCTTGCCCAGGGCCGAAATGAGCCTCTTGGGCTTCGAAATGCGCCAGCTAGGACATCTCATTCTTCCCTTCCCATAGGCTATCCACAACCAGCGCCGCCACAACCAGCAACCAGGGAGCAGGATGACAAAAAATTGACCAAAGACGGGCAGATTATCTTGGATCCACAGCCAGATGATTCACACAACGATCCTTTAAACTGGCCAACATGGCGTCGGGACTCTGCTTTGCTTACCTTAGGTCTTTACTGTATGGTTGGAGGTGGAACGACACCCATTATCGCAGCCGGTTTCACTGATGTCGCGAAGGGTACGTACAGGGGAAGCACCCACTTACTCGAATGCCTATAACTCTCTTCTTTTACTAAATTGAAGTATAGATTATAACATAAACGTCGCCGAAGTATCACTTACTACAGGCCTATATATGATGGGTCTCGGAATTGGTTGTGTTATCTTCTCACCTACTGCTATCTTGTACGGCAAACGACCGGTTTATCTTTTCAGTGCTATAATATTCGTCATATCGACGGTATGGTGTGCTCTATCACCTAACTTTACCTCGCTTATATTAGCTCGTATCTTTCAAGGGATTGCTGTGAGCCCGGTCGAATGTCTTCCGTCTGCTACTATCGCTGAGATATTCTTCCTGCATGAGAGAGCGTACCGCATTGGTGTGTATACTCTATTGTTGCTTGGCGGGAAGAACCTGGTCCCTCTCGTAAGTGCTGCTATTATCGAGCGCCTCGAATGGCGCTGGGTATTCTGGTAAGTTCATTCTGAGATGGTCTTAAACATCTATACTGCTCATGGTTCTCCGGCTAACATGATCCCTACTCTAGGATTCTTGCGATGGTTGTTGGTGTTTGTGGCATCCTTCTATTTTTCTTCGTCCCCGAGACCTTCTGGGACAGAACTCCAATACCAAGATCGCGTAAACATCCAAAACGCCCTACTATTTTCAGTAGGAGGTCCTCTGCCCGACAAGTCTCGAAGTCCCACATAAGTGGGAATGCTATTCCTACTGGCGAGAAGCCAGAAGGTGTGAGCGATGAGAAGCCTACAGGAATCCGCCATGAGGGCACATTGAAGGAAACGCAGCAGCGGCATAAGAAAGCACACGTCGGATTTGCGTCCGGTCCTGGGGGGGAATCAGCAACAGGTTCAGGACACGCACACGCCCAGTCTGTACCAGCGACAGCTTCCACGGCACCGCTTAACGGTAGTGACGACAGAGACGAATCTACAGCAGCTGGAGAGGCGATAACTGCTGTGCCCACGACGACGGCTGATGGTATCCCACACACTCCCCGTCCGATTGCTAGCCGCACACAGTCGAATAATAGCGCATGGTCACGGGCTGACTGGGATGGCCCAGGACATCTTAGCCAGTCAACGCCAGACTCGCGTGGTTTCCACTCGCCACACTATCAACGTCATACTGATGATTATTTCCGAACAGAGGAAGGGAGCGTGCCTCATCCGGCCCCCGGAACCGTTCATTCTGATACCGAGAGCGAGAAGACGTCGTTCTCAAATTTGGCGACGATAACCACGGGACAGGCTTACACACACGCTTTGCGGAACGCACCGCCAAAATCTTTTGCCCAGCAGTTGAAGGTGCACCATGGGCGGCTCGGCCAAGATAAATGGTGGAAGGTAGCTATTCGTCCTCTAATCCTCTTTTCGTACCCCTCAGTCCTATGGTCGGCCGCGGTCTACTCCTGCTCTATCGGCTGGTTGATCGTGATATCGGAATCGGTCGCCGTCATCTATCGAGAAGGTAGTTATAAGTTTAGCGCACTGGGAACGGGCCTTGTCTACATATCACCTTTCATAGGTGGTGTTCTGGGCACGGCCGTGGCGGGCAAGGTTAGCGATATCATCGTTAGGGCGATGGCACGGAGGAATGGTGGTTTATACGAACCCGAGTTCCGGCTCGTGATGGCCGCGCCAATTTTGGTGACCACGGCTATCGGGCTCATGGGATTCGGGTGGTCAGCATACGACAACGACGCTTGGATTGTTCCGACCATCTTTTTCGGAGTGGTCTCGTTCGGTTGCTCACTGGGATCTACGACATCGATCACATTTTGCGTAGACAGCTACAGGCAGTATGCGGGAGAGGCCTTAGTCACTCTAAACTTCAGCAAGAACATATTTCACGGGCTAGTATTCAGTCTATTCGTCACTGAATGGCTTACGAGTGAGGGTTCTAAAACAGTGTTTATCTGGATCGGCATTATCCAGCTCATCCTGCTCTTATTTACAATACCTATGTACATCTATGGCAAAAGGGCTCGCATGTGGACTGTTAGGAAGAATTTTATGGAAAAATTCTAGACAGCTCCCAGCTCTCGAATATCTGTTTACATATGGTTTGGTTGACAGCGATGGTTGGCTTCCATCATGCGTCAACTTGATCTACAAGACGATTTCATTCTGTAGTTAAATCATGGCGAATTTAGTATAGCATCCATGGCGCTTAACGAAGGCAACGATTTATATAAGTATACACATACACATACACACACACATATATATATATTTATCTCTATTCAGAATTGATATAGTATAAATATTCGAATATAAATATTTCAATATATGATATAACTAACGAATAGTTAACTATGTTCTACGTCATCTATGTTAAGTACCTACCTATGTAGCTACATGGATGTAATTACGTAATAACACATAACACATAACACATAACACATAACACATGTAAATACCTCTCCTCAGAGTACGGACCCGTACATACTTGTTATGTTCTACATATGTATGCTTCACCTAATCTTCGGCTAAGCATCAGATCAGCCACCATGAGGGCCAGACTTCGGTTACCAATGTTGACGGTTTCCTACCGGACTCCGGTGCGGACGTTTTCCTTGTCTCACCATCTCAACGCCGCCAATCAAATATATTCTTCGTAAGTAAAGGCAACTTGGCTCTCACACAGCATTATCCTCTTGCTTTACAGCTAACCCTGCTTGCTAGTGTTCGTCAGCCCGATAACTTTCACACTTATCAGCTCTTATCCTCTTCCTCAAGAACCCCTCTCATAACCCTGTGGACTACTTCATGGTGTTCTACATGTCATGTTGTAGCGCCACTCATAAAATCTGCCATCGAGTCTGGTGTAGGTGAGGCTGAGGGTGGCGTCGGATATTGCGAGGTTGAGTATGACGCTCCTGACGTCATGAGCAGCTCGCTCGGCATGGACTTCATGATTACTTCTATACCTACGCTATTCAGTTTCGACGCTGGAGAGGCCCAAATCAGTACCAAGATAACTGATGGAAGGAAACTAGCGGACCGATCTTTTCTGGAAGAATGGATTCGAAATGAGGCGAGGAGACATGGCGGCCGTGGCGGCGGAGGTGGAGGTCCAGGGATTCTTGGCGGGTTATTTGGTTCGTGGAAATGAGGTACCTACGATTAACCTATTTGGTCTATTATTATTACTAGGATGCAAGAGTTGCTAAGAAAGCTTTATTTCATTTTGAACGGAACGTATCGTTGAACATATACCATAGGGTCAACAGACGCAAGTGCTATATGAGTGCAATTATATCTGTACACTCATAACATGGAAAGTGCTTAACTGGTCATGCCATTTTGTCTCTATTCTAAGTAAAACACCTCTTCGACCTCCCTCCACCACGGAGGGCCAGATTCGCTACTGTGAGCGCCGGGTACGAAGCTCTACAATCAAACTCTGGTTAGCATCCTAGGGGTCCTCCCCACAGCAGTGGAACTTAGGAATATTTACCTCTTGGAAACCATCTGTCATGGCCCACCACTCTCTTACTATTGGGTTCTCTTTCATACGGACCATGTCGCCGGTATAGTCATTCCCAATATATTTAAAACTCGCAAAGAGGATCCCCGTACCGGGGTCGTGGAATATGCTGTCTGTAGTTGTTAAGAAAGGGGAGGATTTTAGTCTCGAAACATTTGATCCTATATAGTATAAGTATAGGAGAAGCATCTTACAGTCCTCGATATTGCAGGCCTTGATTTGCTCTAGAACCTCGGGCCACTTTGACAGAGTTAGTACTCCCTGAAGGGAAATACAATAATGATAAAGGTTCCTTATATATGGACATCACGTACTACGGCAGCATGTACTTCTTTATATTTGTCAATAAACTCTGGCTTTAGCTTAACAATCTGCGCGATGCGACGTGCTGTCTTCTCAGACTCCGGATCGGGCGATTTAGTGATGCGAGCAGGCGGCGGAGCGTGTGGTTTCCACATGATGGTAATAATAATGGAGGGCAGATGTTACTTGTCGGTTTAAGTTGATATCTCTCTTTTTCTTCTTCTTTCCTATTGTTGCTTGCTTCGCTTTAGATCTCTAATATCCACCAGATTTGCCTCGTTTCTACGTAATATACACATCTGGTCGAGGGGCTATCGGCGGGGAGGTACTTAATTAGTGTTATATGGGGTTCGGTGGAAGTTCACCGCGAGGCGTCTAAAGCCAAGGGACACGACCAAACGCGGGGAAACGAACGAACCGAAATGTCCAATCTAGACTCGCCTGTGTTTGTTATTGGCTTATACGAGGACATTCCCTTTACGTCTTACCTTTCTCGGCTTCCTCTTTCTACAGAAGAAAAGCAGCATTGTTTCACTCTTTTCTTAGCTTCGCACCAACTACTAGGGATATATTCGTACCTAGCCTAGCGTCTATAAATCCCAAGCATCTATTAGCTTACATCTAGGTTCTGCGAACCCTCAAGGGCCTCCATATCGGCCACCGGGTTGTTTAGTAATTCTACAAATATGTGATCAATGGTCACCTTCGGCAGATCCCTTTGAGACGGGCCTGCTCATTTTATATGCCAAACTCCGCCCATGCAACAGCCTATCCCTCTCCTTTCATATACCGGGTTTAATTTTCTTAAGCCAACAAGCAGTAACAATATCAGTTTATAATCGTCCTATGTCGGCCGGTTCCTTCCAACCTATATTGTTATAGACCCATGCTAGTAGCTGCCTCTTTTAGAGACAGATGTCTGCTGGAAATTGAAAAGCCGCCCCTAATTCACTCCTTATTAAAACCGCGCGCGATCAGAGAGTAAGCCGTATTAAACTTCGAAGGGGAATAGGCGCATCGCTCGGCGGCCGAGAAAAGGCGTTACGCGTAGATTGCTTCGATTAAGTAGATGAGGCCAAACACTAAAAACGCAACAGCGCCACCTACCGTTACTATGAAAACACTCATGTTAGCAACTAGCTGTAGAATATGGCACTTCTCATCTATCGTAACTTACCAACTTTCAAGCTCACTTTACCGGCGATGGCCCTGCCGCCGAGGACGGCTACGCCGGTACAACATGCGTGGCCCAGCACGGCGCCCAATGTCACCCACCAGTAGTCTTGACCAGCAGCCATGGCAATCGTTGCAATCTGACTACGATCTCCCCATTCCCCCAAGAAGGTCATGACAAAAGTTTGCACCCACGCGGGACTTAGAAGAAGCGAGAAGAGGTTCGATAGGCCAACGCCGAATCCCCTGAAAATGCCACGGCGAGGCGACGGACTTCTACCTGGAGAGGTCGAGGGACTGCGAGGTGGGGTCGGGAATCGAGACTGGGACCTTGGCTTCCGGTCGCTGCTGAGCCCCATCTCCAACGCGTACGGAGATAGAGAGGAGCGCCGTCTACCTTGTTTTAGTGCCAAGTGCTCCTTCTCCTGTAGTTCCATCTCAACCTCTTGCATCTCTGCCGTGACGCCCTCGTTTGGATCCATGGCCATGCCCTCACGTAGCAACCTCGCGCCAAAGACAAAAAATAGCCCTGAGGCTAGGAAAGTAGTCACTCTCTTTGGGATCAGGGCTGGGACCGTATGACCCATTACGGCCGATAGGACAGTCATGACTAGCAAGGCACCGAAAGCAGCCGAGAATACAAGCATACGGTCATGCTTCATGGCCATGAGCGCGGCAACGAGGAATGTTTTATCGCCCACTTCAGAAAAGAGGATCATGGCGAGAGAAAGCACAAAAGAGTGAAAAGGTTGAATAAGGCCTTCGTTGCCTTCATCAGCTTGCTCCCATGTCTTGGTGGTAGATTTGGCAGGTTTCGATACGTCGAGGTGGTCTTTATTGGCCGAGTCAGGAACGGGATTCGGGTCGTCGCGTAGTTTACCTGGCAGGTCTAATGGCTTCTGTGCGGTAAGTTAGTACCCTAAAGGTAACATATAGAGTTGTCTTCATACCTCGAGCCCGGAAACATCTTCTGGAGTCTGGTGTAGGTCAACTTTGCCTTTTTCTTTCTTATTAACTTTTTCGCTCGTAATCTTTTCTTGCTCGCTATGCGGCAACGGTGGTTTCTCCTTTGGGGTTTCGGGCACGTTCTCAACCTTCTCCCCAGTTACACCCTCTTTAGCTTTCTTGGCTTTATCTTTCTCGCTCACGCCTCCTTCGGTACCGGTAGTGCCCTGCTTAGGAGGCTGACGATGAGGATCGTCCATGACGCCGTCGTTACTCTCGGGTATCTTCTTCCCATCGATGACTGTAGGATCTACCGGCCGGTCTTTCAAGGAAGGGAGGGGCTTGGTTTCTACAACATCATTGGCATCACCCTTCTTGCGCCCCTTGTCAGTCGTTACGAAAGGTCCCTCATGCGGCATCCCATCTTTACCATCCACTGGTGCGATTTTGGTGCCGACATCGACTTTGGTCGACTTGGAAGATCCGGCAGCTGGGTCTAGAGATTGGGACGACGCACTGCCCGCGCCCACAGCGGGAACATCTTTTGCAGGCTTCGTATCTAGTGTAGATGCGGCTAGGGCAAGGGAGGGTAGAAGTAGAAGAATAAACGGCGTTCGTCGTTGTCGGAGTCTCATGGTGAGCACGAGATTAGGTATTCTGGTAAAGTTGAGGTTCTTGCTGGAGATATGCAGTCGCCAGCCCAAATATGATGTGAACAGGTTTCCAACCAAGCGACTATTATTTTACAAATATGGCAATGTTCCTTCAAAAGCCTGCGGCGGAGCCAACGCAATGCGTGACTAGCAAGGATAAGACGGCGGTGCGATCCCTAAAATGGGGGCAGGTTTTGAGTTAAATGTACAGGAAAGACAGAAGAAGAAGGATAACGCCAATGAAGAAGAATGTAATGATTATTAGATTATAGTGCCTTTACTCTTGAATGGAATCAGCGTAAAAAGGGGCAAGAAACTTGAAGGTGGAAATAACAGGGCAGTAAGTGAGTTTAGGTAAGTATATACCTAAGGTACGTGGTACGTGGTATGTACGCGACAGTAGAAGACTGAAAAGCTGGGGGGTTACAGGTGCTACCCACAAATCACCCTTGTAGCCGTAACAATTACCTTTTCACTGTACTAGCTTCAAACAGCCCCAAAATGTACCTAAGGTACATTAATAGCTACCTACCTAACCTAGGTAGTATGTGTAGGGAGGCATTCCAAATTAAGCCTACTGCTATGTATGTATGTACACTGGTTACTGGTACCCATATTTAGGTTCCGTATTTGAGGCACAGCACTGAAGCCAGTCAGGGCCGGTGTCACATGATATGGAAAGTACCTATGTATATAATACATACATCCTGTACATACCTATGTATGTAGTTAACCCACTATACCTAGAACGTAGAAGCTCAACTTCAATATCATCACATGACAGCCGGTCTAGATAATTATCTACGTATCATAACCATCTTCACTTAAGGAATAATCACACATTTACCTTTACCGGTTCTTTGATAAAGTAACAGTTCATTTCCAGGATTATATAAAGTCTGTGAGTTTTGTTTACGGCGGAGGAATTGAATTAAAGAACTGGCCAATAAGATCATAACCCTAACCCTAACCCTAACCCGATCTAAGAAGTTATACAACTTCGAAAACGGCATCAGCGATAACAGTAACAATTACAACAACAACACTAACAATCAATACCAGCCCTCACAGCAACGTAGTTGCCTATCGTGAGTTTTCTACGCACCGATAGAGCCAGCGTACACTCTTGATTACACTCTTGATCTATAATGTCTGGGCGCCGTCGTCCAGCGACGCGTCAGACTGAGATCGTTGAGCCAGCGGAGCCGGTCGCGAGACAAACTCGACGAAGCGCTAGACTTACCGACGCATCTACAGAGCCTGAATCCCGATCTCAGGTTGAAATATCACGACGCGGCACTGGGCGTCGTCGTCGTAAGAGTCTTGAGAGCGGCGCGACAAACGAGGTCCCGAAAGGCTCTACAGATCATGTGAATCCCGAGCCAGAAAACGAGCCAGAAGATGAACTAGAGAATCTTAGTATGCTATTTCCAGACTTCATATTCTAGCTTTTAACTAAGTGCTTTGTAGACTTGGTCCCAATATCTAAGCCTATCATTCCCCAGAATGACGCAGGATCCGAGACAGACGACGTTCATGAGTCATTGGAGGTGGACTCTTCTAGAATTCAAGATATGCTCGACTTTGATATACCCAAGTTCGCACGCTGGTCCGACCACATGTACGACGTCCTATCATATATAGACAACGAGCAGCCAAGCGTAGAAGACCGTTCGAGGTTAAGTCGCACCAGAAAATCATACAATCATGCCCGCCTTCCTTTTGCCGATACCAGCGCCTTTCTCATAAAGCCTATCAACTTCTCCGAGGACTATGGCCTAGAAGTTCGAGCTAAGATACAAGTGGCAATCTGCTCTGGAAACATTATATCACTCCTTGCCTCCATTGTAGACGTCACAGTTGGCAAAAAGGGATCGCTCCTGATTCTCGAACAGCTAGATGACTCTTTCCCGGTCTCGTTCAATCCACATTCTCCGGGGAATGATGATATAGAGCGGGTTCTAGATCTAGCATTCCGTATTCGATGTCGTCACGTAGTTGAACTACTAACTGCTGAGCCTTCCGTTGACCCGTACGAATTGGCTGCCAGTATGTTCTATAGCCAAGAACAATACAAACCTTTGGCTGGGATCAATATTAACGAAAACTCCTACCTCTATGAAAGCTATCAAGACCGCATTCAGGAGATCATCTCCGTTCTTTCTTCCGATGACAGGTCCGAAGTGGAATCACGTTTGGATCAAGATTGCCCCAAGGAAGAGCTCTTTAACGACCTCAGATCATGGGGCCTAGATATGTATAAACAACTTAATAATATGCCGACAGATCAGGGAAACATGAAAGCCGCCAAACCAACAGAAGGAGAAGATGTGCATGCATTAATAAGACGTGGAGAATCAGAGCCTCTTTTCGTCGATGACAATGAAGAGAATAGAGGGGGCTCAGATTCTGAATCAGACACAGACGTTGCAGGATATGATAGACTACCAACTCAGGAATCCAAGTACGTTTGCAGTCGCGCTTCTAGTTTATTCTGAGGTTGTACTAACACCCCGCAGTCAGAATTTCATTAATAGTTCCGCCATTCTGGCAGCCGTGAGGCGGAGTGAGAATCAGCATGTGTCAAGTCCTATATCGGTACCGCCTTCTAATCAACGAGCCATAGAGGACAATGGGCATATATCTAGTATCAGAGAAGCAATCCGTGGCTTAGATCCTAGCCAGGTAATTAGTCGTACGAGGAAACGCCCGGCTCCTAATCAAGATGATGCTAGCGAAGGCGATGATGACTTTGAAGTAAATACGCAACTTTTTAACGAACCCAGGCGGCCTCGTAACGAAGACGCAACTGTTCAAAGACCACCTTCTAAACGGCCCCGAATCTTGGAACAAACTCAGATTGTGCGTCGCCAGCAAGTTACTAAGGAACGGCCGCGGAGCGACATGTTTGAAGGCCTTGGTTTACAGGAGCGAGATATTATCAGGTTAACTCAGGAGGCCCGAGATGCTCGACGTACGACCTATGTGAACAGGGCCAAGCCCCGGCAAGTTCGCGTACCATGGTCCTTCTCTGATACCTCCAAACTCTTGGACCTAATCGCCGACAGATCCATAAATTGTTCATGGAGTACCATTGCGAGAATAGGCGATTTCGAAACCCCGCGAAACCAGCAACAAGTACGTGATAAGGCCCGTGGTCTAAAAGTTTTATATTTGGAAGGTGACCAAGTTTTGCCACTAGGTTTCGATCAAGTTGTTCTAGGCCAGAAAGAAAAGGCTGCAGTCATCAAGTGTGGCAAGAACCCTGATCGGCAAGAAGACGACCTAAATGAATATGGCGAAATTACCAATAATATATGGATTGATTGAGACCAGGCAACTTGCTGCATTTTATTTTTCAGTTTTAGAGGTGTGCCGACTATATTCAGTCTAGGTTAGGGGGTGAGAGGTTTATTAGGAATATTCTTTTCCGTTATTCTATGCGTTGCAGTCATCGAAATGGCGTTTCAGCAGATAGATACCCCGTTAGACTAGCTCTGGCCTGTAATGAGGAATTAACCCTTAAATGATTCTTGATAGCCATACCTCTAGTCGCTTGTTAGTCGTGCTTCGCCGTCCTGTCATGGATAGCGACGGTCCAAAGAGAATTCACAGGTTTGCGGATATAGTATTTTCCAAACTTTTACTGCAGGCTAGCAAAATAGCAAACCTCATTCTCGCATTCTGGGTAGTATCGGATTCGAGAAGCTGGAGTTGATCCATGACGTATCAGCATAAGACTACGGAGTACCAGAGTAGCAGATCTCACATGACAAAGTTCTAACCTAATAGCCGCTGTAGCAGGAGCCAATAAGGTTGTGTATAATTTACCTAAGGCTCGATTATGTGGAGTACTTTAGCAGGTTGGGCAGCTATCAAAAGGTTTTTTATTTCCTTCTCTCCTGGTTTGTTCGAGCTTATGGTTCAATAGGTATGTATGTACACATGGACTGCAGGTAGGTTAGTACATACGTACTTGCCCCCGGTCTGAGTCACCCGACGCATAACAAAGTACATAGGTTACTGACATACGAGTCTTAAGGAAAAGGGAGGCACGACAGATAGGTATATGCATGTAGTACATGTGTTAAAGCAACTGTATTAAATCAAACTTTCCTCCAAGGACGTCTCCTGGAGCTCGCATCTTGCCTATATGTACATGTATTTATTTACACGTAATATCCAATTCTGTGTATTTCAATGGAAGGAACTCCTTCTCTCATTGGGATATATTAAATCTACTACCCTTTGGCGCTGTCCTAACTGCGCTTATAGGTATAATTGCTCGTTCAAAGTGGTTCGATATATTTATTGATACATTTATTCGTACTGACCTGCAAATAGGTAGTCCCAACAGTAGATAATACCTCAACCTACACGCAATTGGATATATAGATACATATATAATATGGAAGGCGCTCAACCTTGGATATCCGCCAGAATTGAAATCATAAGACGTACCTCGTATGTATATATGTGTGTATCCATAGAAGATGTAGGTATTTCATGAGCCACTTAGGTATGGTTAGGTAGTCACATACATAGTACACACACGGTATGTTTTAGCTTAGAAAAGTTTGAGCCAATAGATAGCTACAAACCTTAAAGATTAGTTAGATTAGGTACAAAGTACAGTAGGAAAAGGAAAAATATCAAAGAAAAAATTTCAGTTTGTGAATTGGGAAGGAGGGGTGCGCAAGCAGGAAGGGCCTAAGGAGGGGCAATGCCCCCACAATCAGAAATCTACCTTAGCCACCGTCCGAAATAATTTATAAACCCCTACACACCCTCGCCAACACTTCTCTGAGTTTCCTTTTGATCTTCGTCTCGCACACCGTTAATCAGAAGCATTAACACCTGCTGAACGTGAGAACTCCTCCTTTCCCCTTCATTCTTCCATCAACAACTTCACCTATCCTATCTACCACCACAAGACTGCTCATACGATCAGTAAACTAACCATTATCTACGCAGTTTTCGTGTCTCCCTTCATCACACAAATAGAAATCAGCAAGCTTCTACCGCCAAAATGGGGTATGTAGAAAACTCTATCGCGCTCATCACGAAGAGCCTCGTTGCTAACAAACCTACAGTAAGGAAGACAAGACTCACATCAACGTCGTCGTCATTGGCCGTAAGTTTTCTGATTAGTTTCTACGCGCATCATAGCAGATTGCTAACTGATCATCTCAGACGTCGACAGTGGCAAGTCCACTACTACCGGCCACTTGATCTACCAGTGTGGTGGTATCGACAAGCGAACCATCGAGAAGTTCGAGAAGGTTAGTAATAATTCATTGTTTACATTTATCGCGTCGTGAACCACGCTTGAATCCACAAGGGTTCTTAGGACTTGAAGTTCTTGCTGTTTCGCTTCAACCGCGTGCCCCTCCTCTATCACGACTCGACCCCCACCGAGGGGCACAAAATTTTCCCTACCCCGCTCTGACGTTCTGCACAACATTTTGGTGCACGGAGCAACCAGCCCTAGACGTGCCAAGCGATCGTACTGGATATCAAAGAAGCATCCACTAACCCACTCAATAGGAAGCCGCTGAGCTCGGCAAGGGTTCCTTCAAGTATGCCTGGGTTCTTGACAAGCTAAAGGCCGAGCGTGAGCGTGGTATCACTATCGACATTGCCCTCTGGAAGTTCGAGACTCCCAGATACTATGTCACCGTCATTGGTATGTCTCCTCTCTTACACTGGACCTATTGAGCTTCGCCTAGATACTAATGTTGCCTTTGCTTAGACGCCCCCGGTCATCGTGATTTCATCAAGAACATGATTACTGGTACTTCGCAGGCCGACTGCGCTGTCCTCATCATTGCCGCTGGTACTGGTGAGTTCGAGGCTGGTATCTCCAAAGATGGCCAGACCCGTGAGCACGCTCTGCTCGCCTACACCCTGGGTGTCAAGCAGCTCATCGTTGCCATCAACAAGATGGACACTGCCAAGTGGGCTGAGGACCGATTCAACGAAATCATCAAGGAGACCTCCAACTTCATCAAGAAGGTCGGCTACAACCCCAAGACTGTTGCCTTTGTCCCCATCTCCGGTTTCCACGGTGACAACATGTTGGCCCCTACTGCCAACGCTCCTTGGTACAAGGGCTGGGAGAAGGAAACCAAGGGTGGCAAGGTCACCGGCAAGACTCTCCTTGAGGCCATTGACGCCATTGAGCCCCCTAAGCGTCCCACAGACAAGCCCCTCCGTCTCCCTCTCCAGGATGTCTACAAGATCGGTGGTATTGGAACTGTGCCCGTCGGCCGTATCGAGACTGGTATCATCAAGCCCGGTATGGTCGTCACCTTCGCCCCCGCTGGTGTCACCACTGAAGTCAAGTCTGTCGAGATGCACCACGAGCAGCTTACCGAGGGTGTCCCCGGTGACAACGTTGGCTTCAACGTGAAGAACGTCTCGGTCAAGGAAATCCGACGAGGAAACGTCGCTGGTGACTCCAAGAACGACCCCCCTGCTGGCTGTGATGACTTCACTGCCCAGGTCATCGTTCTCAACCACCCCGGTCAGGTTGGTGCTGGTTACGCCCCTGTTCTTGACTGCCACACGGCCCACATTGCCTGCAAGTTCGCCGAGCTTCTGGAGAAGATTGACCGACGAACGGGTAAATCCGTTGAGAACAACCCCAAGTTCATCAAGTCTGGTGACGCCGCCATCGTCAAGATGGTTCCCTCCAAGCCTATGTGTGTTGAGGCTTTCACTGACTACCCCCCTCTCGGTCGTTTTGCCGTCCGTGACATGCGACAGACTGTTGCTGTCGGTGTCATCAAGGCCGTCAACAAGAGCTCCAAGAGCGGCAAAGTCACCAAGTCCGCCGCTAAGGCCACTGGCAAGAAATAAGCTCGCCAATCACAACTGGACTGCAGCCGCGGGGATGTAATGTGTCTTCGGCTGGTTAGCGGCCACGGGTCCTTGACGACACGACTATGCCTCTACGAATTTCCTTTGCTTTTGACACGATCTGTTCTCTCGGACATTTGATACCGAGCGCAGTATGAGAGGAAGGGTTATGGGCATTTCCGCGACAAAACTTTCTCATGTGCTTGTAGTAAAATAGAGTCATAGACCGTGACCCCTCTTATTTATGCCGCGATTGTGATGTGTCCTGTCCCTAAAGTGATTATAAAACTCTGCCTTACTACTTCGCCCCATCTGTTCCTAATTAAATTTTGACACCTGTTTTGTCAATCGTGTTTTAATACTGGAGGCTTCTCTAGTCCTTCCGTAATATGACTGATCCCTTAGAGACTAACTAGTATTCCTTGAAGATTTATCATCTTAAATTATGACTACATTGAAGCTATCACGTTTGGTGTCTTTTATTTTATCTATTCTTCTAAATTATCTTTTGGGTTGTTTTAGATTAATCAATCTTCATATTTGACATAATTATTGGTAAATGTAATAATTTAAGACTATCTGGTTATGAAACCGACGTACCAGCTATGCTCAATATGAAGATTGCATTATATCTATACTCGGGTTAAGGTAGAGAGAGCCTTCGCGTGTCGCTTTGACTACTTTACGAGACAGTAGGAAGCATAAAATCTTCATTAAATGCACACACTATATTACACACAATAGTTTGCAGCTAGGTGATCAAACTGTAATTTACATGTTATGTAGTCCTGACCACAGCATATCAGTGCTGGCGAGTTTTTGGCAGGCTGCTAAGAAGCTATCGTGATATGTACGCGCGCCTCCCTTGGGGGGACCAGCACTATTTTCGGGTTCTAAGGTAACTTCCGCTCTTCGCTCGCTCTCCGGTCCTGCCTCTATAGACGTATATGATAATTTGAATCCTTCATATGGCATTGAGATTGAGCGATGAACCTCTAGACTTGCTAGTGTATAGTCGGTATCAAGGTTTCGCGGTGTTCCGGATTCGGGACTAGCCATAAATGCGGTAGGGTCGCCGGAAAAACGCCGCATGGCTGGATACCAGGGGACGGAGAACGACTGTTTTGACGGCGTCTTGAACTCGCCGTGCTCTAGATTGAATCTCGATGACCTGAGAAACGAGTTCAACGGCTCCCAGGAAGTGAGCTCGGAAAGTTCGCCCTCGGGCACCGCGTACTGGGCCTGCGTGAAGCGTAGGTCAACGAGGGACGCGGGGAGCATGACGTCCGTTACTTGTGTTCGCTTTATAGCGCGGAAGCTCTCGATACCATTTATTTCATTGCCAGACACTGCGAGACGAAGCTCGAGGAGAGGCGCGGGAGGAGTGGTAACGCTAGGTACGCTAGGCTTGGCTTTCCGCTTCTTTTTTTTGCTTTTGTTGCGAATGGGCTCGAGGATGGGCGTCGGCCAGAATCGGATAACCACCGAGGTTCTTGTCTTGGCAGGCGATCGGGTCCCATTATTAAACTTGGTAAGCTGAATAGCATGCGGCGTGGCGGCGGCGAATACTCGGGGGTGGTTGGCAGTCAAGAGGTCAGGAAGACTGGGAGGTGAGGTAGAGGGGTTATTCGCGTGTAGTAAAGAGCCAAACTGCGCTACAGTTGATACTTGGAACTCTTTCGTCCATTCCACGCCATCGTACGGGAATAGTAATGCATCCGATGAAGGCATATCGAGCCCATTGGAAATGGGCAATTCGGGATGTGGTGTAATGGGGAGTTCAAGTCTGTCAAGTCGTTTCATTACTGCCGGATCGTTTTCTTCGGATGCCACTGGTAGTATGTAACGAGCCCATGCGCCCGCTTTGTCATTCCATCCTAATTTTTCTTTGCTTGCAGTATCCATAACAAACCTGCCCGTAGCCTGACTTTCCAAGTCTGCTGCCAAGAGAGTAGCTGCCGTTGCTGGTTGTGGGTTGAAAGCGGTAAGTAGTAGACGGAAGACTTCATCGCCTGGAGATCTTAGGCCTACAGGACCTTGCGAAGCATGCCCTTCGGATTCGATCCAAGTTACGTGAAGCTGCGTAAATATAGTTAGTACAGGTATGAGAATCATTATTTGAAAAGGTCGCTGGCTCACCCTTCTGGTAATCTGGTTGAACCTAGTATGTGTATTTGTGATACGTCCTATCTCTTCTAGTACCGCTTCGTCGAGGGGCTCCGAGGCGATGAGGTCGGACGGATAGTTTGCCTCGTCGATCTGTTTGAGTACCTTGGCTAACCCTTCTACTAATGTTGAAGCCTTTGTTTTCGTCGCCACAATGCGTAAAGTCTTTCTAGCCCGGAATGCCTCGATCTTCTCTCCAGGATCTAGCAATATGCGGTCCATAAATGTCCATCGCCGAGTACCACCTATTGAGAGATTAGCCAGACTTGCTCTTGAGAGGGAAGTATAAGCGACAGACATACGCATGAGCAGAAGAAACCTAGAATTTCGAACCTTGATGTTTATTTCACCAAGCCCGGAATCGAGCTCTGCAATCGAAAGACCCCAGCATTCACGCATGATTCGTAGTGCGAGCTCCTCCTTTAAGGTGGTTGACTCCGTTGTGTATCCATGCAGGCTAATATTACCACCTTCTACGGGGTCTGAATGGGGGTTTAATGGCACCCATGGACTGATATCTCTGACCCAACTATAGCTCTTGAAGGCAATCGATGCTGTGTCTCTCAAGTCGAATTTGGGTGAACGGCCACCCTGCTTGTGATGCTCGAGATAATCATGAAGCTGGCCACTCAGAAAGCCATTCATCAGCTCGGCTTGCAGCTTGCGGAAGTCCCTTTCCAGCAGGGTAGTATCTGATTTTGGTTTTAAATTATGAACATTGTCATGGACCTCCTCTGCGGTTGGCGTTTCTCGCTGGAGCTTGAGCAGAGCCTCGAGATTGGCAGGCCGGTTGTCGGGCTTATCGTCGGAATCATCGGGGGTAGAAGGATTATATTTCCTTTGGCGTAGACCTTCATCCCTCATAATAATCACAGAGGCAGGCTTGCCTAACATACCGGTACTAAGACTTCCTGAATCCTCCACGAGGACGCGATTGCGAGAAAGACGCTTCTTGTGAAGGATCAAGATTTTACTGGCATGTCTTGCGTTACGTTCGCGCTTCCTGTCTCGAGCTTCATTTTTACTTTCCGGATTCACGACCTCATCTTCGGGGGCTAAATCATTGTCGAGGGAACGGGCGGTTGAGTCTCCATAAAAGCGTCGCAGGGTTGGATGCTGGGTTCTAGTAATGCGACTGGAGGCATGAAAAGGCTGAGCGCTGCGATGAAGAAGACGCAGTCGGCATCTTAGACAGATTGCGCCGCTAGTCACTCTCGTGGCTAGCATGAAGAAGGAATATAGAGATCCTTTCGGCGACTAACAGGCCAAAATATAATATACAGGTCAATCTTCTACCAGAGAATATAATATCGTGGATAATAAAAGATTGTAGATAATAAAATATTTCGCTCCAACTTTTTTTTAGTCTACTTCTTAATCGGGTAATCAGCTTTAGGATGTGCATAGGCTTTAAGGTACGTATAGTTTATCGATTAATAGCGATAAGTACTATCGATAAAGTCGAAGTGGGATCTCTCTACGCGTATAGAAGTAAAACGCGTCTCAGTCAATCTCCCCTCCCCCCGCCGAGCTCGTAACATTTAGGAGTAGATCCTACCTCAGGTATCTTGCATTCCATAGTTTTGCGCAAATTTACAAACTAGAATATTCTTTTCACACCAGTATCTACAGACTACAGCCATGCCTTCACAAACCCAGACCCAAAGACGGCGGAAAGCAGGTAATAACGATAATACCAACGAAGCCCGACGGCGTCGCCAGTCTCGACACAAGCACGAATCGGACGATTCCGAAGCCTCTGAAGAAGATCAAGATGGCGATGTCGATATGGAGAGGACAGGTGACGGTACAGACGACCAGCTAGTCAAGAAGCTGGTTCGATACGCCCTAGCATGTGAATATGCGAGGATACCTATCAAGCGAGACGGCATCCGAGACAAAGGTAAGTCAAGTCTACTCAAGATACTCGGCCTGCAATTATCCCTTTTCTAAAAGCTACGCATAGTTTTAGGAAGCAATACGAGATCGTTTAAGCGCGTGTTTGAGGGGGCCCAAGCCCAGCTTCAACAAGTCTTTGGCATGGAAATGGTGGAATTGCCCATCAAGGAGAAGCGAACGCTAAAGGAGAAGCAGAGTAAGAATTATACGACGGCGTGCCTTGTCATCTTTTACTAACTAGTTGACATAGGAGCGAACGCTAGGAAAGCGGCTTCCCAAAGCGCCGCATCCTCCAGACAATACATATTGATCTCGACCCTGCCACTAGAATACAAATCGCAGTCCATCATCGCCCCGTCACGAATACCGAGCACATCCGAAGAAGCTGCATACGTCGGGTTCTACACTATGATTATCTCGTTAATTGTTCTCAATGGAGGAGAGCTGAGCGACACGAAGCTACGACGGTACTTGACCCGTCTGAATGCCAGCCAGAACTTGCCCATGGACAAGACCGATAACGTGCTACAGAAGATTGTGAGGCAGGGCTATGTCGACAAGGTAGTGGAAAAGAGCGACGGCGACGAGGATGCTGTAACTTGGTGTATCGGACCCCGGGGAAGAGTCGAGGTTCCTCCCGAGAGTATTGCTGCTGTGATCACAGAAGTCTGGGGCGAGCTTCCGCATGATTTCCACATGAAATTGCAGAGGAGCTTGGGAATACAAGAACCTCAACAAGGCTACGATGAAAATGCTATTCCCGAGGAGTGAGGAATGAGGATTCAGAGGAGCTGTTAGTTCAGAGTCCAATGTACGTGGCAATATCCCGTAATGAAACCACATTTCACATGAAATTATTTTTGATATGACCACTGTAGGCATCTGGAATATAATGCCTTGTATGCAGTAGCCTTTATCCTTTATTCCTCTTTATTACTTCATAGACTGTCTGATCCAGACGGAGCATCGGTCGTTTGGCGTTGTTCAACAGTTACAAGTGCAGACTGCAGCGTCCCGATCAACTACGCCGTGACTCTCCTTATTAATTATGCCCGCGTATGGGCTCTTCGCCTTCACGGGGAGGAGGCGGACCACACGGCTGTATCATCTTTCGTAGAAGCTGGGCTCGAACTTTAGCGGCGGGTTCGTTTTGCGCGAGCGAGATGTAAGCTAATTGCGAAGGGTGACCGACAAGGCTCGAGTACGTGTCGCGCGCAACGTTAGTTCGCCATTCCCACGATGTCGTGTCTGGGTGACCGGTACCGATGTACTTGGCTTGAAGTCGCTCAAGCTCCTGTTGGGTGCGCAGTTTGTCCGCCTGTATGCTGTTAGCTTTCGGTACTTTAATGCTCGATCTAGTCAGTCTGGCATACCATATCTGTAGGGTTTTTATTTTTATATTTCTATGTCTAGCACCGTACAACCTAGCCTGTTCTAGTAGACGAGCTGGTGGGAAATGTTGGAATTATTTAAGTCGCCGGAAGTCGAAGAAGCGGCCAAGTTAATATTAAGGGAAGTTGTTGCTGTAACAAACCGCGAAATAAATTAGAGGTACCTGAGTTTGGTCTGAGCGCCCCTTGTAGCTTTAAGTCTGTTTTCAGACTGTTTAGTTACATGATAGCTGGCCCAGTAATATGCATCTAGGGAATTCCTCGGTATTCCCTAATAGGACGAAGAGTAATAAAACGCAATAAAATCAAATCGGATAACGAATCCGCGTGGTGCAGTGGTTAGCATGGTGCTGTAAGTCTTAAAATATATGTCTCGGCATTTGGCAATAGTTACTAATATGAACAAATAGCTTATACTTTCTCGTATTGAGATATGCATAGGTCGTGGGTTCAATCCCCACCGTGGATATTTGATTTTTTTACTCTTTTTTTAATTTTCTTTTTTATTCTTTTGCTGCTCCTATGGTATTTATAATAAAAAATAAGCACAATGAATTCTTATGGTTCGATTACTATCAGCGCTTCCCATTTTCTGACCTTGAGTCTAAGAGTAGTCCAATTACAGATGCACATCTCGTTGCTGCTACCATTTGACTCGGGAATGTTTACTCTATCTGAGCAAACGCTCATACTTTCTTTTCAGAGCCCTGATAGTACGAGACGAGAATATCATTGATTCTTTAAGTGGCTAGTTCGTAAGGTTCTACATTAAACATATTGATGCAAAATATATAAAGTTCAATGTTGCATACATAGAGCTTGGGCATAAGGCTGCAGGTTCTAGACACGTACCTTATCTAGATGTGGATAAGAATACCTAACCCAGGCCAGCTTGGGTTACTTCGATGGCTCGTACCTTTTAATGTTCCAATTAGCACCTAGCACTACACTGCATCTAATACATCAAGTACAAATGCGCGTCGCATAGTGTCTACATGTATAAGTAGATCATCACACTAAGCTTAACCCATACTTCGAGCGGTAGATTTCCACACGTTCCATAAACAGCCTACCGTTTCCGTTGCGCATAAACTCTGGCTGTCATTGGCCTTGTTTCGGAAATCACTAGGTTAGGCACTTTCAACGCGGCATAGTCGTTTTTATCACGACACGGGGATATAGGAGAGCTCTATGAGACCCAAAATTGCTTAACCTCCATATAATAGCGGGATTCGCGATTGCGTGTCTGAAAATATGCTGGAGCCATGGGATGAAGCTATCGCCCTTCAGAAGGAGCGTCAATTTTGCACAGATGATGTACAATCTATTAAAACGTCCTGTCTTAAGGACCATGGCAAGAGGCATCCTATCGAGTGTCCAGATTGTTGGACCCGTCTCCTTAACCGCATAAGGGATCGATATCTCAACTCGGCTTCTAAGGAATGGTTTTCTGGCCGGCGACCGTTTCTACTGGAGCTTGATACTATGTTTTCTAAAGCTCACAATTTTGAGGTTGATCTCAAGACTATTGAGCAGCGCATAGTTGATGAGAAGAAGGAGTGGTACCGAGACAAAGTAAAAAATATAGGACTTCAACATATTACAAAATCCCCAGCCGAGGATCGAATTCTACAGCAAAAGATCAACGACCGGAGCATATCCGCAGATCAGCTTGCTTCAGAACTGAGGGCGTCCTTTAGCGACGGCGCTGTCAAGAACCAAGAAGCATTCGACGAATTTATAGAACGGCTGAAACATACTAACTTGCCCCAGGCACGGGTCGAAGCATACATTGATATATTTTTTCAACCTGCTCATGACCCTTCGGTTGCGGCAAAAGCCCGGAAGTACATCGACATGGTTAGAAATGGGACGCCAATTGCGGACACCATCAGTGTCATGATCCGTGACCGGCATTTAGCTAAAGGTGACCAAGATCAAAAACAGGCACTTCATAAGCAGCTCGAAGAACTGAAGAGGGCTAAAGCAGCACACGAACTGGGTAAAGCGAAGAGCGATAAGGCCCAGCAGGATAAGACCAGAGAAACCGTACGCCCTGATGATCAGCACTCTCTACCGTCGTGTTCGGTATGCTCGAAAACCCCAGATGCGCAAGACTTTATTATATGTCCCCTATGCCAAATTCTAGGCGATTTTTATAGATTTAGAGTCGAGCCTACCGTCTTCTGTTCTCAGAAGTGTGCAGACGACCGTTATGTAAGTTGCTCTCTCCCTGTGATAGTTGCGAATGAATTCTTACCGTTGATAGGAGGCACATGTTGAAGCAAGACATGAGTGTGCATCCGGCCAGCGATGTGTCCTCCTCCATGACGAAGATATCGAGATGGATGACGGAAGAACTGTTTTAGTCTTCTGTCGGGAGTGCGTAGAAACGCTCGGTATCCCATCCGTCTTTTGCTCGGCTCGCTGCTTTAACGAGAACTTCCAGCATCATCGCGACGGCGTCCATATTCCCCGGCGGAAGAGCACTCAGCATGAGGTTAAAGATGAAAATCAGCTTGAGTTCAACCCGGAAGATAAGACGAGGTATAGCGCTAGAAAGATCGAAGAGCATCTGGTCACATTTGATAATGCTATAGCAGAATGGCAGCAGAAAACAAGCGCTACAGTGAAATAAGGGCTACGAAGGTATATAAACTTCTTCTCTTCTTGTACTTTTATAAATTAAGGACGAAACCGGCTGAATAGAGAAGGGTAATAATGCGTATAAAGGCCAACAGCCTGCATCGTACCAAATTATATCCGGGCTCGGTATACCTGGATATACTTGTCACATAGCTTAGGTGGTTTAGGCCGTGGTCCATGTTGAACGTGGCTAGGGTGGGTAGATGTAAATATACCTGTTATAAATATAATTGCAGGCCGTGTGCTGCGCTGGTATTCCGAAGTTGCACAGTCTTAATAGTGTGGCCTTGTAACAGGTACGTAAGAAATGCCCCGCAGTCAAAGTTACATAAGTTTTAGTATCTCCGAGGGGTTATTTGATTCCAGTTAGAAGGCCGAGACCTAAAGTTTTCCGTGCTCGGCGCCGATTGTATTTTTGGCCGAGCAAGTACATAAACCGACAAAAAAAGCTACTAAAGCTATCGCCGCGACAATATCGCAATCGGCATTTTGCCATCACCTACACAGTTGAAAATTTAACGTCTCTAAAACATCTCCAACTTCTAGAACCTAGACAAACTATATCAATCATATCTAACCATGTCTATGGTCTCAGCCCTGAAGGGCGACTTGCCGCAGCAAACTCGGTCATTGGTGAGATCTACTCTTGCTATATCCAACCATGTGCTGCACTATAGTGCGCCGATAGTCACAAATCTCAAGCACATACACTCTATACTCCGTAGTCATGAGCTGGGCTAACATGTACTATTTCACCATCTAGTACCGCCAGCTGCTGCGTCAAGGCAAGCAGTTTGAGGCCTACAACTTCAGAGAGTACGCGAAGCGCCGAACGAGAGACGCATTCCGAGAGAACGCGGGCGTGCAGGACCCTAGAGAGATACAGAAACTCATACAGAAGGGACTAAAGGAGTTGCAGATGATGAAGGTACGGTATCTATATATCTTGTAGTCGGTTGAAGGGCCATTTCGACGACAGGAGGCAGTGTAGCACGGCGTGATGAACAGTCTAGCTAACGAGTCTATTTTCTCCCACAGCGCCAAACGGTCATCAGCCAATTTTACCAGATAGATCGGTTAGTAGTGGAGGGCGGAATATCGGTATGTTTCCTAAGAGCCTTGTATTTTACATAGGCATATACAGTCATTAACAACCTACGCCAACAGGGTAAGCAAAGCGGAAAGTCCGGAGATATTTCGCGGCAGAAGGATACAGGGTGAGCATATCAATGTTATGCTGCAAACTAGGTAACGTCGGCTAATCTTTATAGATGGGATTAATACCACCCTACGCGATGCTTTAAAGTATCCGCAATGGGGTCACCTCGTTCTTCTCATGCGTCTCGCCTCTGCTATACAAGACGTACTAGCCCTGTACCATTACAGCTTCATTGTACATCAAGCGCGCGGTTGAATTATAGGCTTGCGGCGTCCGCTCTCCTAGTTCATAGGAGTATTAAGTCTCATTAGAGCAGGGAGAAAACGGAAAGGGGATCAGGTCAGAATCTGGTATGCATGAAACGGGATGCAAAAGTATGGCCTACAAACAAGGCAATGTGCGGTACGGCAAGGAGTACCAAGGCCATCTCACATGATATCGAATGCCAATTCTGCTCTAGTTGCTTTATATGAACTTACGAGTGATAGTTTGCCAGTATGTATGTATCTAGGCTTTCTTGCCAAGCTAGCAGAGACCATTCAGATATCTGCTGTATAGCAATCAATACACTCCTCATTTAAGGCAAAACATTCTGACTAGAGACTGGCCATCCTGTCTCTGTCATTCCCTTTTGACATGGAAACTTAGTACTGTCTGCATATGTCAATTAAATTTACGTTTCAATGGGCACATTCTGTCCGTAATTAGTAGTTAGTTAGATAGGTCTAGATAGTAAGTACTAATCGATCTATCACCACATAAACCTGTATCTAAAACTATAATAGATACACGTCCTCTATAAGTAAATATATTAATTTTGTCTTCATATATCATTTGAGGTACATTCGGATTGGCCGGAAAGCAATTTCCTTAAAAGTAGAAACCTGATTGGCTTTAACAATAGAGTGAAGTGGCCCTTGAGTTTAATAATATATATCTCGTAGTGCCATGCCGTCATGTTTTTCACAGCGGCATCCATTCATCATCCATCTACGTGTTGGGGAAAAAAATTGAAATGTGGGAAGCGCAGACTGAATGAACACCCAGGTTTCAAGTGTTGGAGATAGTCAGGTCTAAGTCAAATCCAACAAAAAATGTAGAAAAGCATCCACCCTTCACGAGCTTGAAGGTATCAAAAGATAAGAGTGCGGTGAGTGCGGATCGAACGCACGACCTTCAGATATTAGAATGAAGTTGGACTTCAGTCTGACGCTCTCCCAACTGAGCTATCCCCGCTTGAGAAGAGCTGTTGAGGTATTGATCTATCAACCAAACTTGATTTGTCGCATGGGATGGTTGGATCTCTCGAGTTGTAGTGCTCTGGCCTGTTTGTCAGTCTGTTAGGTACATTAGTACATAGGTACGTACACCTTTACATGCATAAGTGGATCTCTTATATGTGAGTTCCGCACATACACAGGTTAGGGCGTTTAGATTTGTGCAGGTTATGTAATGCTGCTTACCTAGTCATAAGCCTTTGTGGCATTTGTTGTCGTGTTCTCAGACTCTCTCACCTGCGCAACGGCGTAACCATTTCTGTTCTCCGTCCCATGCAAGTCAACTCTCTTGGATAGGTCCTGATACTTCTTGCATCATCCTATCCCGCCACTGGCTCGCCAATCGCCCTTCGTACAGATACCAGATATACCAGAGATAGACATTTAAGCTATTAGAATCTCCAATTTATTCGGCAAAGACCGAAAACCCCCCGAATCGCGCGTCGCTTCTTAATGGCTTCAAATGGCTCCTAATGTACCAGCATCCTGTACCCTCCAAGTCACCATTGTTCAGCCTAGCTAATAATATATACACTATAGTTTCGTCCAAATACCCAAACGCGACGTGGAAATCGTAGCGGTTATGTAGAACATGACGATTTTGAGGGTATAGTTTGCTTCCTAGTCCTCTTATAACATGTCGCACGTCGCATGATGGCAGCAGCTGACCTTATTTTCAAAAGGCTTGCCCGTAAGACAATGGCGCCAGGAATGGGTCAAGATTGGACCGCCTCCGCCCGCAGATATAACTCAGAAGAACGATATATGGGCAATCGAACTTCCACATGGCATGCCCAAAGATTCGCATTTGCTGCCCACACACACTCAAGAGTTGCTAAGGGTAGCTCGCTCGGGGAGGCTTTACAAGCGACAAGCGCCCGCGGAAGAAGAGGAGGTTGACCCCGATGCCGCCCTAGCAGAAAAACCAGAGAAGAAAGAGGAGGACCCAAGCATCAAAGGTTATCAAGTCAAAGTTTGGAAGCAGGTCGCCCGTAATGCCGAGGGTGCTACCGTGTCCCACCTGGCTAAACGAAGGAAAGGAGTTATCACGATATCATCCAGCCTTCCGGCTGGCCCATCATCTAGTCCGACCATAGTGAAAGTTACCGTCCGCCGCATCGACGCCGCGGGAAACCCTTACACGCAAGAAATCACAATAAATGAAGGTCAACCGGTGGATGGGGAGATTATATCGTCTATAGTGGTGCCAGCGCCTAATAATACCGCAAATAGCGAAACATCTGTTGCTGCGACTCCGGTCCGAAGACGGCCGCCACCGCCCAAAAGAAAGCCTAAGGGACCTGGCCGAGGACGGAAGAAGAGGTTGCCTTTGCCAACAAATACACGCCCCGAAGCGACCAATACAGGCGTGGATACTACTACCGATGGTACTAAACTCAATCTTCCGGAATCCGATGTAAGTTAGCTTCGGTCAGCCATATTACCACGTACTAACGGCTGTTAGAATGTCAAACAAGACGACCAATCCGAAAACAAAAACCAGGACAGCGAAATGGCCGATGATGATGACGGAGACGATGGAGAAGACGACGGAGACGATGGTGAGGATGGCGACGATGGCGACGAGGAAGACAGTGAAATGCCCGATGGTGAGAACGGAGCGGGTTTCAGAGCTGAAAGTGAACCCAAACCTGATAGCGTCGCTGAAGTTCCTTCGGCGATTGCCCAGGCTGAGCCCTCCGTCGACACGATACCATCGGAGATTTCGCCCAGTGTTGAGCCGCCGCTAACAAAGAGACTGTCGCCTCCTTCTAATTTTAATTCAAACCCGGTCCAACCTCTTCCACAGCATGCCCCATCGCAATTCGAAGGAAGCCCGCTCAAAAATGTTGTAGCTACAACATCACCAGCCGACTTATCGCCGAAAATTCCACCTGTCGGAGAGATCGCAAGTACAGTCGCTACAACCGATACTAGGCCGTCGGAAACGTCATTAGCTCCCGTTCCGACGCTAACTGATCCCATCGAAACAGTTCATCAGGGAACAGAATCAGCTGTCGCAAAGGTTGAAGTGGACGTGGAGATGACGGATGGTCCTCACCAAGAGCAGACGGAAACTGTGGTTCTGCCCGTAACGGAAGAAGAATCGCAACAGTCGGATGTTTCAGCGGTTAATCCGCTACCAACTGTAAATCCTATTCAAGGTGAAGATGCTTCTACGCATCACTCACCGCCGCCTGCAGCTATACCTGAGATTACGAATACCGCACAGCCAATTGAGGTTTCCGAGACGCTTGTGAGCGTGGTTACGAATCAAGAACCACAGGCTCCTGAAGCGGCGCCGGCTCCGGCTCCGGTTCTGGTACTTGCCAATGACTTGCCAGCTCCCGAGCCTATTGATACTAAAGCCGAAGGCGCTATTATAGAAGGCGCAGATGAGAATGAACCCGAAAGCCCCGATCTATTCAGTGGTCTAGAGGCCGCCTTGAATCAGCAAGGTGGACCAAAGGAGACTACGCCTGCTCCGGAGACGAAGGCAGCTTGATTTCCTCCAGTATATTGTTCTTGAATAACCCCGACGAACCGTATTATATTGATACGTTCCGTTTACTGGTTATATCTGCGAATAGTGTAAAGTAGCAATGTATATCTAAAGAACTGGGTAAATATGAATGAATATTTCCGTGTCATACTATATCTGATCTGATTTATGTTGTTTGTACGTGTCGAATCTTGTGTAGATCAAAGCTATTAAGACTTGGGGAATAGGAACCTCATCTTGAACTTTATAAATACTTACCTGCTAATTATATACACCTAACCTAGGTAGGTAAGTATATGTGTGCATATGTACATTCCGTAGTGATCCTGGTTCAGCCGATGTTAAGGGTTGCCCTTCCCCCGCACCGATTCTAATCCGGAGGCTGACCCCGATCCGCCCATTCCTATTTGGTGCCAAGCGCCCGGTAGATACGCACATCTATTCAACCGACAATCATCAATGATCGTATTTTGACACCACGTTGACCTCTTCATTATTTGCGAATTATCACCAGATTTTAAGATTGCATCTCTTTATTTTCAGACAATTTCACGTCATATGTTTGATGACAAGTTAATGTATGATATAATTGTCGATATAATGCGCTTATAAGTTATTGCTAGCTCGATAATCGAACCCTGAAATATGCTTGCTCACGTCTGAGAGCAGCGTGCGCCCGAACGCCGTCGCATTGTAATGAATACCTTTTCTAAATCATCATCCGAGGTTCCGGTTGTCGAGACCGTATGCATGCATCCTAATTAGCCCGCTGTGAAATGTCTTGTCCCGCTTCGATTTTTAAATGTAGTAAGTTCTTATCCCAAGACTCATACTGTGACCTCCGTCTGCTGCTCCCGCTCGAGATTCTTGAGTGCTGCGGTAAGCCGCTCCTCTTCGGCTTTCCGTTGCATTTCTTGCAGGTACTGCGCGTACCGCGACTTCTTGTTGTGAATACCGCACTCGGACTTCTCCTGACCTTTCCAACGGCCCGCACGCTCATCTTCACCTGCAGACACGGGGGATGTCGAGTGCCAGTCACCGACGGACTTGTACCCGCGGTCTAGGAGCGGGTTGTACGGCACGTTGTGTTCTGTGATGTACTGCTTGACCTGGGCGAAGGTCCAGTCGACAAGCGGGTTGATCTTGACGATGCCTGCCTCTTCGTCGACCTCCAGCACGCCGATCTTGTCACGCTCGCCACCTTGCGAACGCCGGCGGCCGGTCAGGACAGCAGCTACGTTGAGGTCCGAGTACGCGCGCTGTTGCGGCTCAACCTTGGCGATCCAGTCGTATAGTTCAGCGGCGGTCTCGTACAGCTTCTCGCCATAGCGCTCCTCGAACTCGGCAGTGGTGTTGGCGTCGTGGGGTTTAAAGGTGTGGATCTTGATGTTGGGGTATCGATCCTTGACTCTTTGGACCAGGTCATATGTTTCCTGGAAATGGTACAGCGTGTCGAGGAAGATGAGGTCGACGGGCGACGAGTCAGGCGATTCCTTCTCAATTTTGGAGAGCATGTCTGTGGATACTAGGCCGGTGAGGCCGAAGGCTGTTGATTGATATAGGTTGGGAAATAAGATCTTGACGAAGCGGAGCCGGTCCATGGAGTTCATCTTTTCTAATTGTTGGTTGAGGTGTCTGACGTGCGGTGCGGTGAGTGTCACTTGGGGAAGCTCGCTTGTAGACTCTGCCGTCGACGACGATGCTGCTGAGGCATATCCTGATTCTAGATCGGTTGTGGAGGCCAGGTCTTTGGATGAGTGGCGTGGAGAAGCCCGTTCGACATACGACGACGACCCCATCTTGAATTATTTTATTTTATCAAGATTTATTTTGCCCAAGGAAGGTAGATGTAAGTCAAGTGGGCAATGAATTGAAAGAGTTGAGAGGGCTGGCGGCTAGGACAAGACAAGAATACGGATTATACCGCTACGAGACACTGACAAAACGTCTTGAGAGGTTTAAGGATGATGAGAGAGCAATGATGGAAGAAGAGCAGAGGATCGGAGGAAGTATTAGAAGATGTCACTATGGGGAAAGGCGCCAGAGGTGCTGTTCAAATTATAAAAGGGGACAATGGAGAGAATCTATCCTGTAGACCGAGTCGGTACTTACATACATACCTACATTTCTACTATAATTCCCGTAGTAACGTCTAGTCAAAACAGTTACTAAGTGTATTTGCGTATCATTTCTCCGTGTCTACATGACTAATCCGGTTCTCGGGATGTCTTTACGTGTTGTTCATGTGGAAAATGCTGTTGCATATGGAGCTGGGGGTATTGCGCGATCTGCTTAGATGAGATTTAACAGGCGGCAGGCCGGAGCCCCAGGGCATCGAGGCGCCTTTAGAAATTTTAGACACCGATCACGACATCGGCGCTAGTATAGTTGCGACAGCACAACCGACCTATTGATTGGCAGAATATTGGGTCCCCTTCTTCGACGGGAGAGAAAAGCCGCGGGCGAGTTACCGATACTTCTGGCCTGGGTTCCATTTGACTTCCATCTCTTTGTTGACTTGATGTTGTGCCCGTGTAAGCCAATGTTAGAACTGCTGTACTCTTTACTTTGAACGTTGAAATTCCATGCTAATCTAAGCTCCGAGCTGTGCCTTTTTCGACGTCACGACTGTATTTTAAATTGGATCAATCCATGTGGTTTGGTGCTGTTGCTTTATGTCTGCCGGGGCGCTACGGAATGATGCCATCGACTTGACATGGATACTTGCTTAGGTGGCTTTCGAAAACTGTTTGACATTCAACTTGATTAGTTAGAATCCGGTGGGTTAATGTTGGACAGAATTTATTGCGTGCTCTCTGCTACGAGTCACTGTCACTGGTGCGGCCACAGAAGGTTTATATATTCGTAGTTATGAGGTTCGTACGTCAAGCACGCAATCACGGATCTTGACGGTTCAAATTTTGTCTGCTTCTTCGATAGCACACATATATATCTGTATGACTGCAGGGCTATTTGATGTGCTTGAAATCTATCGCGGAATCTCTCTTCCTATTCTCTACATCCCTTTACGTGGTGCTCGATTCTATTAACATGCCATGCTACCCAACAGCTGTATAATGTAACAGAGTTACAACCAGTGCGGGCCCATGCGAAGAAGAGTGCTGGAAGAGAATTATATCGATCCCTTGAGGCGTAGCAGATGATATCTACCCTTTGGAGGTTTGTTAGAAATCCGATCGATGTGCTTGTCCTTAGCATACACAAGATATACACAATCATTACAGGAGTCTCCCAACTGATCCGGTTATTTCACTCTTACCGCTCCTAACGTCCTAACGCCTTACAAAGCAAGCGCTCGAACAAGGAAATGTCACCATCCTTAGGGGGGATGGCGAATTATTGGCGGTTGTCGGAAGGTTGAAAGAAATTGTGAAGCTACGAGAAAAAGAAAGTTGAAGAAGTCGGGTCTCGGTACGATGCTGTGATGTTGTAATGGTTAAAGAGCCGCTTGAGCGGGTCATCGGGGCCGATAGCCGTACCAAGAATTGCAGCTTCTCCTTTGAAATGCCGGAGATCATTTATATTTACGGACTAGGCAGGTACCTTCTCAGTGTACCTTAGATAGGTACTATGCTTAGCTGCGCACATACCTACGTATAAGTAGGCGATGAGAGGCGAGATTGCATACATAGACCCTAAGAGATCTGGGGAACAAGGGGTGCTTACATGTGTACCTATGTATGTAGTATGGTTGGATTCGTATATTAATATACCCATACACGCAATCCCTCTCCATTTTTATATGTTCTTCTGTCCAACTCCTGGGAAAATATTTATTGAATGCTTATGTAAATACATACCTGAAGCGCTGCATAACTAGGTACTTCAAGACAACTTGGGTATATGTAAGTAATCTGGGGTAATGAGCGCACAGACAGGTACATACTTACACAAAATAGCATCATCATACCTACCTAGGTACCTAATCAACTTTACGGCAATTCTTCGGCTAGCTGACTCAGCACTTGCAAAGTAGCAGTTGAATCCCGACCGTTAAAACCATGTGTACTTTGTACCTTACGGAGCGCGCCGAGGTTTTTCTTCACCTCAGTTGACCAATCATATACTTCATGTAGACCCAGCTATTAGGAACGGAGGGTCAAGCACACCGCGCCTTACGCTAAGCTAAAGCCCAGGTGAGGAAAAAAATACCCCGCGCAATTTGTGAACTTCATTCATTGCGAAATATAGAGCCTCAAACGTTGGGTATCATTTCCCTGCTTGCCTAAGAATTACTCATAGAGAACCTTATACTCAATCCCTCAAGTGCAAAGTTCATTCCTTACGCAATAAAGTGCCTCATCTATTAGTGATCCTATATTCTCATTTCTATAAATCCATCATGGCCGCCGACGATAGCCCCACGAAGCAGAACTCGGGTCGGCCACAGTTATCTTCTATGAGGACTAGTTCATATCTCAAAGAGCATCAGCAGTACCGTCCTCCTAAGCATCTGGATAGTCATTTCGGTATAGACACCGTCGTCGAAGATTTGCAAAGCCACGGAATTTCTCCTCCCAAATCATTCAGCCCCTTTAATGGTGTGCCCTCCAAGGACGAGCCGCCTCGTATTGTTGAAGGAGCTAGCCACGACTTCACCCATCCAAATTGTGCTCCGCCCAGAGGCACCAAAATAGATCGACTTGTCGCCACCTTGATATATAAGTCAACGTCATCACGTAACGCGGTCCCTTCTCCGAGACTTGCCTCGTCTAGCTCCGACATTCCCACAAATCTCGCACCAACTACCAACATTGAGTTATTTCCTCTAGAACCTCCGGACGCCGCTGAACCCGAGCCTCTCGATCACCTTTATGGCTCCTACATATCCCCAATATGCATCACATCTTTTCTCCATTTGATGTCCACCTTCCCCCTACCTCAAGGGGTTAGCGAGGCTACATCGTCTCATCGTTGTCTCGACGATCGGGAGCACCCCCTCGTCGTCGAGTTGACTTTGTCCCCGGCTCCGTGCCCCAACTATCTTTCCTTATCAGACCTGCGGAGGCATGAGCTTATATACCGGTTCGAGAGGGAATGGAACGTCGATGTCGTATTGCAACATGACACACTTTGGCGACGATATCCACGTCTGGTCGTTTTCGACATGGACAGCACCTTAATCACGCAGGAGGTCATTGATCTACTCGCTACGGCTATTACAGATCCTCCAGATCTAGCTGCTAAAGTTTCTGATATCACAAGTCGGGCTATGCATGGGGAGCTGGAATTTGACGCCGCGTTCCGAGAACGAGTTGCTCTACTTAAGGGGCTCCCAGCCACGATATTCGAGCAGTTGCGTCCAGTGCTAAACGTTACTAAGGGAGTCCCCGAATTGCTGAGAGCATTCAAGAGATTAGGCGTCAAGACTGCTGTGCTGTCTGGCGGCTTCATCCCGTTGACCAGCTGGCTGGCTGGCGAGCTTGGAATTGACTATGCATATGCGAACGAGGTTGTAATCGATGACTCTGGGTGCCTGACTGGCGAAGTCCAGGGACGCATCGTAGGTAGAGAACGGAAACAGGAACTCCTACTCGAGATTGCTAAGAAGGAAGGAGTTGCACTTGAACAAGTAGTGGCAGTTGGCGATGGTGCTAATGACTTGTTGATGCTTGACACGGCTGGCCTGGGTGTGGCATGGAACGCAAAGCCGAGGGTTCAGCTAGAGGCTAATGCTCGTCTCAACAGCGAGAGCTTAGTCGATTTGCTATACATATTTGGACTCACGAGCCAAGAGGTGGATTTGCTAACCGCGTAACCTTATAAGATAGGTACGTCTGCTATATAACTACTCTTCTATTTCGTATGCATACATAGATTTGGCCTGACCTGGTCTGTTGCCACCTAAAACGCCTGGGAAATCGGAAACAAGGCTAAGGGGACCAATCCATTTCAACGACTCTATCGCGATAGAGAGATGGCCAGAAAATTATCAGTTCGGATATCCGACGGCTTTTGAACGGGGCTAAGTTTACCGTTTGTAGGAGTGATGTAGGTCTTACTATTATTACATTCGTTGGTTCCTAAGTCTAGTTGCTAGAGAATGCCGTATGTAAATGACCTAGACTGAGCTGGTAGTTACGCGTAACGAAACAGATATATCGAACTCGACTATACGTAAACAACCGGAATCGTGGAGTTAGCTCTTCAGCTCAACAGACGGACTAGTGACTTTGGTAATAGATAATAATAGCTGTCCCAATGCTTGGCCTAGGTTATGTACAGTCAATATAGAAATAACGCATCCTCTTATAGTTCCAACAATGGGAGAAGCAATCCACTACCTTCCCGAAGAACATATCTAGTAGCCGTCCTTACCCCATTTGTTGTACTTGTCATGAAGGCGCTATATTCACTCAGTTAGCACGAATGGCCCAAAGAGGTATAAGGGTAGATAGGTCGATTTGCGCATACCTTTGGCAGGGTAACATCGGGGATGACGACGACGTTGACAGCGCTGGGGGCGTCCTTCGGGGCGGCAGACGGGTCACCACCCGGGTGGTATCGGTACTTGCCCTCCGTTGCGCCGGTTTCCCAGGGCATCCCCGACTTGGCTAGGCCGACGGGCGCCTCGGATGTGGATTGGGTTGGAGAACGGCCTAGAGTAACGTGTTAGATTTTCGATGCGTAGTAGACGAAGAGAAGAGAGAGACAGAGAAGCGCGTACCGAAGTAGAGACCAGCACCACCTAGAGCTAGAACCATCACACCTCCCAAAATCTGTTAACAGCAATCAGGTCAGCACCTATCTAGAGAAATATAGGCATATATAGTCGCTTCGTCTTCAATGTAGTAGATATATGCAATTTCATATATGTATGCATCCACTACAAAGCCGCGGTGTCGTATCTGGGTATGACGCACCATGAGTTCGGGGTTGCGCTTCGTCTCCTCCTTGAGGGCCGGGTTGGCAGCGAAGCGGCGCGCGGTAGTAGAGAATGCCCGTTGAGAAAGGGCTCTTCGGGCGATGATAGAGGCCATGGCTAACGGTATTTTCGACAATATTGCGGTGGTGGTTTTTCGGGGTTGGGGCGTTGTCAACAGTTTAGGACGGGTTTACGGAAGAGAGAAGCTTCGAGGTCGTACGATGTAATAGTTCTTCAAAATTGACCAATGAGGAGCGGCTTTGATGGTCTTGGTTTTATACCTCACTTTTGAGGCACTAATATGTTTTTGTGTGTACGGAAATACATGTTATTCAGTTATGCATATAAGCGGTAGCATCTTGCGTCATAGCAATTATGTACCTAGATACCTTATGTATGGCTTTAATAGCTTGGTGTGGCTTAAGTACCGTGGCTGGCAGTATACGGTTTTAATCTTAGGCGAGGACCTAGCCCCAATCATACTTCCATGCATTATATCTAATTCATAGTTATAGGTAGGTAACATGCATATGCTATGTACATATATGCCCACATGCGCAATCTTTGTCAAATTTATGCATGACTGGGCTCCCCTTTAGAATTCGGCTTCCAAATCCAGTCCCGTCCGTAACTGCATCATCTATCTCGCGACGACTGCGAACTTTACGCGGCCCCCCTCCAATTCGACCCGACCCGATTGTCCTTCCTTTTTTTCTTCTTCTTCGACTACCTTCGCTACATCATCATATTCTAGTGATCCGACAGCTTCGCGACACCTGCTGTGCAGATACAGCCGACCTCCGGAGAAAGGGATATTAAACTTGACGCTCTCTTCATTTTCTTTTAATCTTTTCTTCTTTTGGGCAAACGAACCATCATTTTCTTCGCTCAAACGCTATTACCCAGCTTGTTTTATTCCTTTCTTTTGACGAACCGACCGAATTGAACGTATTTATTATTGTTCGTGGGGTATGAGGTTGTAATTGAGAACATATTCCAATTACTCCTAGTCAGCGTTTCTACTTGATTAGGTCACGGACCTCTTAGGAGACTTGGACGATTCCGACCGTTTGCTTGGAAGTTATGTTATGAGGGCTTGTCTCGTGGAAGCTGAATACCGTGGAATACTATTCAAGCTAGACGAATCGCCTTAAACATGGCCTCAAATCAACTATCCGCGCAACCGGTTTCGCCCTCGGACGACACGGACAGCTTCCCCAGCCCCCAGTTCCCTGCCGGTCCTCCGAGTATTATATCGTCGCGAATGACCGACATTGCGTCCGAAGATGGCGACGGAGTTGCTCGAGAGCAAACAAGGACGACTGCTGGTCAGAGAAGGAGTTTCCGCGCCACCGACTCCCGCCCTGGTACTGCGAGGACTGGCTTGTCCTCGTCACGCGGCGCTTGGGCGCAAGCGACTCCGCTGAGGAAAGGTATGCAGAGAGGAAGTAGTATAAGTGGCAGCATCAAAAGTGGCCGCCCGATTAGCTCTACAGGTCGAACCCACGTACCTTTGGCTTCCCATGCCTTCTTTCATCCCATGAGTTCTCAGAAGCTCCAAGCTCAGAGAGGCGCGCAACGAAGTAGTAGTGGCATACAGCACGGGCTAAGCGTCGAATATGTACAGGATGACAATGAGTCTCATATCGCACCTCAGGACGTTACTACCTCGAGACCCGCACCCCTCCTAGTCCGTCATATGACAGATGATGGGGACGCGCAACTACCTCCCTCTAGGGGCACTGAGATTACAGAGCCGTATGATGGTATTACCGCCACTACAAGTCCGACCCGTGGCCACCACCCTACAGGCAGTCTTAGCGAGAGTATGCGCCCATTGCAGAGGAAGGCTGGGGAGAAAGGCCTTAATCTAGACCTCGGCAAAACTAAGACCTACAGAGATCACGAAAATCTACCCAGCCCTGTTAGGTCACCACGATCTTTCAGATCAGGACTTTTCTTACCGACGAAACCGACGAAAGGCGAGTCTGCGGCCACCCCTGCGAATCGTAATATGCATGGCGCAGAAAAGTTGTCTTCTGGCGCATCGTCTCCTCGGTTTACCCCTGCTACGGTTAACATGCCGGCCACAAAAGCTAAGGCAACCAAGGAGAAGGCACAGGGCCATGGCTATAATCATGAGTATTTTGAGGGTAATACTGTATTCTGCATTGGAGGCCGTCTGCAAAATACGCGCCACCGGCCTATCAACATTGGGACTGGCCTCCTTATTGTCTTACCAGCTATTCTCTTTTTCACATTCTCTGCGTCCTACTTGTGGCATCATGTTTCGCCTGCTGTGCCTATCATTTTTGCCTACTTGTTCTATATCTGTATCTCGTCTTTCCTTCGCGCATCAGGTTCAGATCCAGGAGTAAGTAGATACCTACAGCAAAGAATTTATCTCTACGATAACTAACAAGTGAACCCAGATCCTACCCCGGAACATCCACCAATTTCCCCCGGCGGATGAACATGAGGACCCTCTGCGTTTGGCACCCCCGACTAACGACTGGACTCTGATCAAATCCGCCGAGTCGAGCACTGCAGCAATGGAAGTACCAACGAAATACTGCAAAACTTGCAATATTTGGCGTCCTCCTCGAGCTCATCATTGTCGTTTGTGCGATAACTGTGTTGAGACCCAGGACCATCATTGTGTGTGGATCAACAACTGTGTTGGAAGGCGCAACTACAGATATTTCTTTACCTTTATAGCTTCTGGTACTCTCCTGGCAGTTTACTTGGTTGGCGCGTCGCTTGCTCAAGTAGTGGTGTTTTCGAATGAGGAGAATGTGTCCTTTGGAGCAGCAGTCAGCCACTTCCGAGTTCCATTCGCTATGGTTATCTATGGGTTCATATGCCTCCTGTACCCCGCGGCTTTGATGGGCTATCACCTCTTCCTTATGGCTAGAGGAGAAACAACCAGAGAGTTCCTCAATTCGCAGAAGTTCTTGAAGAAAGAGCGGTATAGAGCGTTCGCTCAAGGTAGCATATGGAAGAACTGGGTTGTAGTGTTGTGTCGCCCACGACCACCAACCTACTACCGTTTCAAGCATCGATTCGAGGAAGGAGATCAACGGTTTGGGGTGCGCCGGAATCAACATGGGAGCAATCCTTCCCAAGGCGGAGATATGGAAATGCAAGCTGTGCGACCACCTTCTGCGGGCTTTCAAGGGCCAACCGCGCTGCGCAACCTTACAGCCAGTACGCAATGAAAAACCAAGCATATCCGTCTCCTTCTACTTGGCTAGTGACCGGTAGTCTTACCGCTTGTCACTGGGCACATATTTTATGTAATGTCTTCTAGCACGAATACCCCTTCAATCGACTTGCTCTTTTCTGTACTACTACTACAATGATTGTTGGAATTAAGGGAAATATGTGAAATTATTAAGTGCTCCTTCGTAAGGTCTCGGTAAAAGATAGGACCTAATATGTACGAGGTTAAAGGGTGATAGGGACAGGAGGGACGGGGTTGTCCGAATGATGTTATGAAAGAAAATTTGGCTGTATTATGTTCATGTTGAAGGTACGATTTTTTTTTTTAAAAAAAAAAGAAAAGAAAAGAAAAGGAAGAAACCAAAGGGGTGCTTTTAATACCTATTCTCTTTATACTTTCCTCATAGACATGAAATGTTTTGATGAGAGGTTGATATCACGTGATGACCAATACCTGTGATACAATGCCACTCTGCCCACTCTCAGCCGTAACCTGATCAGGAAGTTGGACTTATACTAACACGATTAGCTGATGGTCTGATGAATAAATTTTATAATCAATCTCTTTTGCCGAGTTTGTTTTGTTGCATCCTGTCTGTCTCTATTAAATCATAGGTTTTCACCTATTGGTTCGTTGCTCATTCTTTATGCCGATGTTAGAACCATAGGTTTATATTTGGTCAACTGCTTTCTTTTAGATATACTGGTTGTTTAGATTTGACCTCTCCATTGCGCGTCGCTTATATCCCCCCGAAGATGGGTCAACCGTCGTTCGAGGCCTCTAATGCCGTTATATACGTTACTTATGGCGCGTTTCTGTATGTTTATACTTATTACTTATAGACTAGTTAAAGATAACTACCTGCAACTGGCTAAACTAATCATGAAATCATAGGCTATTGGGAACAGGCCTGGCCTGGAAAATGAGAAACCAGTCCAAGGCTGAGTTCCTCTCTGGAAATAGGTCTCAAACTGGTCAGAATCCAAATGGGAGCTGGATAAGCCGACATTCTGTCCTATCTTACTGCTCTCATGTCCCCTTTGTCTCTTCCTTGTAAGATTCGTACTGACACTCCTCATAGCCTTTCCTTTGGCGCTCAATTTCATTGCTGCTGGTAAGTAAGGAATTGTCATGGCGCTAAGGCGAATCGCCCCCTCCCCGTCCAGGGATCACGAGGATCACGAGCGGTAGCACCTGTGCAACGATCAACCGGAGCAGCATACAAAGACGACGCCTGATTATCTTGGTGTTCTGATGTACTACTACGAGATATAGGGTAACGCTTGTGTAACAGACAAGTAGGTTTATGCCACATCTACCAATTATCCTCCCTCTTCCACGACCCCATCTCCCGGGATCTGTGTTAGAAGGTAGATATATTGCGGCTCACTACGGGCGCTGAATTGAAGCAGTCATCCTCGGATAGGATCTAACCCTGCAATTCCTGTTTCTGTCCATGACCAGGAGTTTGCGGGGAGATCCCCGGGAGTGTGCGGATATGAAGCTGAGATTGTACCGTAATACTCGATCAAGTTAATGCTTGCGTGGGAAATGTGCTGCCGCTCCGGTCCCCCTACCCCCCTTTAAATATGCTAAATATACTAACCCTCCTTTACCATTTTGTTAGCCATGGGCTCGGGAATCCTATTCTCGTACCCACAGCTCGCTACTCTGGCAGGTCTGCAGGGCGTTCTGGTGTATGCCATTTCGTCGGCTGTCCCGCTGCTGATTTTCGCGGCGCTCGCGCCAATTATCCGCAGGAAGTGTCCGGAAGGATTTGTCCTGACGGAGTGGACGAGGCAGCGGTATGGCGTTGTGACGGCGCTCTACTTGGGCGCTCTGACGCTACTTACACTGTTTCTGTATATGGTTGCGGAGCTGTCTGCTATCGGCCAGGTCATCGAGGCTTTGACTGGGCTGAATGGCCTCCCGGTTGTTATTGTTGAATGTGTCGTTACTACTATCTATACTTGTAAGTTACCTACTTATCCGTTTTCTATGCAATTTGGGGTTCTTTTGGTTGATATACTGATATCTGTACGCTAGCCCTCGGAGGCTTCAAGATCTCTTTCGTCACGGACAACGTCCAGGGCGCCATGATCTGCGCCCTGATCATCATAGCCACGATCACCATCGGCGTCAAAATAGATATCAAGCCGGAGCTAATAGCCGATTCTGGACTGCTTAACGCGAGTCTCGTAGGCTGGCAGTTGATTTACATCCTACCCGTCGCCATCTTGACTAACGACTTCTTCTTGGCGAACTACTGGCTACGCGCCTTCGCCTCCAAGACCGACAAGGACCTCTGGATAGGTGTATCGGTGGCCATGGTCGTTATTCTGATCGTCTTGACGCTAGTCGGGTGTACTGGTTTAATTGCCGTGTGGTCAGGCGCATTTGAGCCCGACGGCGATGGATCCGTGGCTTTCTTCCTGCTGCTGGAGCAACTACCCAACTGGGTCGTGGGTATCGTCATCGTCATGTCGGTGTGCCTGAGTACTGCAGCATTCGATAGCTTACAGTCTGCCATGGTATCCTCCGCTTCCAACGATATCTTCCGCAACCGTCTGAATATTTGGTGGATCCGAGGCGCGGTGGTTCTGGTTATTTTCCCGGTAGTAGTCCTTGCATTGAAGGCGCCAAGCATTCTGCAGATCTACTTAATCTCTGACCTCCTATCCGCCGCTACCATTCCTGTCCTCATACTCGGACTATCGGAGCGCTTCTACTGGTGGCGGGGTTTTGAGGTATTAATCGGCGGTCTTGGGGGGATACTAACAGTCTTTATCTTCGGCACTATCTACTACGGCGACGCCAAGTTGGGCGGCGAGCTCATTCTTCTAGAGCAAGGATTGTACACCGGGGACTGGGGTGCGTTTGGAGCCTTCGTTGCTGCGCCGGTCGGTGGTTTGCTCTGGGGATTCGGCGCGCTGGGAGTAAGACTGGGTGTCCAGTACGTGCTATCCAGGGTACGAGGTACCCGATTCGATGCGCTTGACTACCCTACTATAGTGCCGCAGGAGGATTCCGATGCCTTGGCCGGGTCGAGTGAAGATACTACGACTACCAAGATCACTGGCAAGTTTTTCTAGGCTGGGTTCTACTGTAATGTGAGATAGAACGAAGTACCACTTTTGTGCGGTGTTCGATATAAGACGGAGATTCAGAATCAAGAGCATATAATAGGTAGATTGTCGTTTTGGCGGTTGAGGCCAACCTTTATTTTATTTTTTCCCCTAAGGGCTGTTTTATGTCAGAATAAAATTGACATCTAAATTATACCATCATATACTTTGACTTACGGATAATGCAAATCTGAAGTGACATTAACTGTTTTGGAGTTCGATTTATACAGGTCTTATGCATACAAGCCCATACTATACACTTTTTATTATTTCTCTTCTTTTTTACTATCCCGTCATTACCTACTTCTCAGCCTCATCCGCCATAATAGCATCAATGTTCTCTATATCTGCTATATACTCCTCGTACGTCATCTCAGGTAATGTACCCCAGATCTTCCAAGGCTCAGCCTCGAAGGTATTCTTATCCAGATTGGCTTGCAGGACAAGGTGCTCCGTGATCTTGCGCACGCGCTCGCTGCCAGCGACTTTAATACCGCCCTTGGTGTCGTCGTACCGCGCGATGCGCTGGACGCTGGAAATACTAACCACGATCTGCTTCAGCATTTTCATGTCACCGTTCGGGATGGGCTGGTATCCGACGCGCCAGTCGGCGACACGGGGGTACAGCCAAGTGCTGCTGTAGCGCACGAGCTGCCACTCGGCGCGGATGCCGCGCGGGCGGGCGTCGATTGTAGCAGCTAGGGTCTGGAACAGCTCGGGCATGCAGATGCTGCGCAAGGTCTCCTTGTCACCGACGGCCATGGCCTCGGACATCTGAACGTGTAGGGCCTTGGCCGTGGGGATGGCGGCCGCTCGGTGGAATTTGAACAGCGGCTTGCTGATAAGGATCGTCGGCTGCGACATGACTTTCATGGATATTACGGCCCAGAGCGAGCCGTAGCGGGCCTTGATGTGCAGCCATAGCATGTGGAAGAACTTCTTAGGCTGGCGTGGGTATCGCCAGAGAGGAGGGGCCACGAGGGTCTCTGTAGGCGCAGAGTGAATATTTATATACATGTATAATACAATTCATATATAGTTGGTAGAACTAACGGGGTATTAACATTGTCAGACTGGGCTCCATCTGCTGAACATCGCTCCTCTTAATCGATTTCATCGATCTTGGTCTGGTAGTAGGTCCCCTCCTCGCAGCATATAAACGCAATGGAGTTGTGCTTATACTGCGGTAAATACCGCATACGATAGGGGGTGGCGCTCGCGAGCGTATAGAGGAGAGCAGGCAGGGCCGCGACTGGCGCAGAAGTTCGGCCATGATTTCGAGGGTGTTCTGAGGAGGTGGATGAGGTGGATAGAGGGGGGGGGTTGAGTTGTTAATGAGGAGCCTTCAATGGGCTCTCGACTCGCAAGTCAAGTTTACCGTGACGACATTGGATGCTATAGAGCGGTGAGGTTAGAAATTACCAAGTAGTCGGCCCTCTTCCGGTTGCGCAGCCGCTGTGATGTGATGAGTGATGAATGATGAGAAATATCGAAGTGATATCTTGTTCAATGAAAAATTTAGGTGGGGCAGAATTCTAGAAGAGAAGCTCAGAAGGCTGACCAATAGGATTAGGTACCTAGGTACCTAAGGTATGCTAAGGTTTAGAGCGTGGGGCGGTACGATCTCCTTCCTATCAAAGCTAAAACACCCTATTAGATTTGGTTCCGTAGGTGACCTAGGTAATCCGTACTTCCCTATTTATTTAAGTTGACAGGGGGCTGCAGCTGTTGCTCAGAGTTTAGGCCGTGTTACGTAGTAATATGACCTCACAGGCCACATTGCCCAATGTTTCTACCTTTTCTACCTATAGGTAGGTTCTACCTATAGGTAGGTACCTTTCTACCGTTACTACATCTATATTTATTAGGTACACATCCCCCACCAAAAACACCAAATTCATTGTGCGACTTTCGATATTTCTAAACGGCCTTTGTCCCCCGTGTCTCGTGTCTCGTGCTTAACCGCCGCCATTACCATCACCATCACCATCACCACTTTCCTATGGCCCAACTCGAATCGACTACGTGCAACGCGATAATATATAGGCAATCAAATTGGGGGTTGGGCAGAGGTAGTTAGTTAATATATATACATATTGTATCTTAGACCATCTTAGGTACTTTAAGCCGTCTGCGGGAAGGCCCCTTGAATGGCCAACCCAAGGCTCAGGACCCCCTCCTCCAGCACACATGCTACCGATCCCACCGATATACCTTCCGCTCCCGTCGTAGCTGTTTCCCTTCTGCAGCCCCGCGTCGCCGTCGCTCTCGGCGTACCTAAGCGTTGGCATCATACTCTCTCCGCTTGCCGTCTACTCTCTATCGTCCCTCCTATACTCTGGGGCCTTCGATACGCCTTGCGTTTCCTGCTTGCCGATCTGTTACGCCTGTCCGAGCAAGACCATGACCACAATGTTAGTCTTTCCTCCCTGAGGTTGATCGAGACGGCATTGGCTGTCATATGGGTATGTTGCTTCTGTTAGCTACCGACTTGTCTTATGTTCCCGTTACGTCGGTTTTGTCGTACTGACCCGGTTAATCAGTGCTACGCCTCTGCATATCTCGCCTTCTTTTTCACCGACTGCCTCATGTCACGCTGGCTCATCAACTACACGCCTCAAGCGACAGTTGTGCGCCTCTTCACTATTAGCTGCGCCTTCGCTTACCTGACCTCGTGGGTCGTATACTTAGCTGGTGGTTCTCAAGACCCCGGCCTACTGCTACCAGCCTGGATCGGGATAGCCACCATCTTAACCCTCTGCTACCACTTCACCCAGCGCAAGATTAAGATACGGAAGGAGACTTTTGCCAGTATCAGCGTCTTTTCTATAGCAAGCTTTATTAGCATGGTTGCCTTACTATTACATTCCCATACGACCAGAGCTGGATATCAGAACGTCCCGATAGTTGCCATAACCAAGCGAGCATGTCAAATCGGAGCATACATCATTTTCCGCATTGTAGGTCTCACTGGGGACTTGGACGGGTTATGATCTAGGGCATCGACTTCCTGATGTTTCGTCGACGTTGTTGCAGCTTGATGCTGTCGAAAGACGTTAACCAAGCTAATGCTTTTATTAGCCTATCAGGACGCTTAAATGTGTCCAGCCTAGTCGCCGACTTTAGAAATGGGACGCTCTGAGAAGCTTGATGTTTTTACTTTTAGAAGAAGCAATTTCAAGTACGATAAGTTGTACTCTAGGATACATGACAAATATATTTTAACCTTAGGCGGAATAACTATAGTTCTTCTCCTAGCTGTCTATAGCTGCATTCGGGTTATAATTCAGATTACGTATATATTGCCCCTAACAATAGTAGCTTTGTTTGTGTCTAGGCGGAAGCTAGATCTTTGCGTTTAGATTGCTGGCGGGAGATGGCATTTGTTCTTTATAATAATAGACGTTTAATGTAGTTGTCTGCACTGTTCGACATTGTTTTTTAACATCAAGTCCTAGGGATGCTCATCGAGTTTAGTCTACTCTGACGCGTCTCGAGAGGTTACCATAGCAGGTACTATTATGTATTGCTTAGTAAAACCACCAGATATATTGTAAGGTCAACTAGTGTGTTAATTCATAGTTGGCCCCTTTTCCGGAATCAGGGAGGGCATTTGACAATGAAATATACTAACCTAGGATATTGAAGAGAATGACTAGGCGGGTAAAGCGGGCTAAGATAAAATTCACTAACGTGGGAAATCGTTCTGTTAACATTATTTGCGCATATGCAGTCGAGTATAATCGGTTTACCTGCGTCTACATTAATACTAAGCACGATCCTAACGAGCCATTGCATGAGTGTATATGGTCGTATATGTTTGTATCCGAGCCATAGAAATCAAATAAAACTATTAACATCTTCGGTAGGATAGGTCGTGTAAAGGGGAGAAAGAGATATTAGAATAAATGGGTAGTATTATGTATAACATCGTTGGCTGTCTCATTTTGATGTGGTACGCTTATACATGTTTTACGGCTTCCATTAATTCCTTTATCAAGCTTCCAATCCGATCCGATCATGATATTTCAGCATATATTCGAGTGCTCAATGTCGTCTATAAAGATAGCCTGTAGCGTGTATCCCGTACAGGGCTCTTCGTTCACCCTGATAACCACAAATGTGGCACAGCCAGCAAGCTTATTAGCACCGCTGTAGACGAAGCACGGGGAAGAGGACAGCGGCTGCTCATGTTTGTCTTGATCAAAGATCGGGATGCTATTCGCTTGTATCGGAAGCTGGGTTGGCAGTATTTCGGCAACACCGTGTGTAAATGGGGAGAAGGCAATGAGATGGATGGATGCGGAGTACTTTGCAAACTCAATGTCTTGAAGCTCTAGGGTTGGATTGTAGCTTGTTATCCTAATTGCTCAAGGCTAGGCGTGTTGTAGGGAAGAAGGGGGTGCTTTTCGGGATGAACAGATCAAACTTTCGCTTCTTTTTCTGGGCATAGGTATTCATTATCATCGTACTTATCTACCGATAGTCCTTCATATGAAGCAAGATGTTTCCTAGATGTATATTGTAAGCTAGCTAGCTCGTCTAAATACAACTTCGTACCATCTCTCACCATGTCCCAATCTGTATGTATTTCTTCAAATTAGATTATATTGGAAATGCTGCGGGATTTTTACTATTGCTATCCCCAAGTAATGTTATTTCCTCTTCTCCTGTGCCTTATATATGTACCAGGCTCTAATGGCAGGTAAGAACATGTAGATATAGGTGTTCAATCAATATTGTGCACGGACTAATAGGGCGGTGTGATAAATACGCCTCGTGACTACAACCGCTTGTTACTTCGCTCTTGCTTATTTGACTCTTGATTGTTCGGCTCCTGCTTACTCGATTTTAGTTATTCGGTTCTTATTATTCAATTATTGATAACAGAGGAGCTCCGACCAGAAGCTCCGACCACCAAAAGCTTCGACCATCACAGGGACGCGACTTACTCTTCACTCTTTGTACTATCATAATCCCTTCTTACTTCTTGACTAGCAACCCTTAAGGTTCCTACAACTGCAGGAGCGCCCTCAATTCTTTTATTTATTTAAGCAGCTTGGTTCCTTCAAAGTTGCCTCTCAATATACCTACTCTTCATCCTAACTTCTAACAGTCCACAACCCTTTCATCCTCTCAATTAACCTCTAAATTAATCTATCATCTTCACCTTCTACATTAACCTATTCTCTTCTACATTAACCTACTACCCACCACCCACCTTAAGGGGAAACACCCATGGTGAACCCTTCAGCCGCTCGTGACACATTTACCATGCTGTCGCGTCGCATCTATGATTAACTCCTATACACCTTGGAGTTTACCTACAATAGTAAGTTTAATACAATCTATTCCTTCGAGCTACCACTGACTTCCACCAGCTCCCCTCATTAATCACTCTTATTTCACAATATGAAACCTACTTCCATAAAAATTGTCTACACCAATCGATACCTATTACTCCATTAATGGCATATACTTTAGTACGCCTAATATATACCTATGTAGCTATAGTAGGTCCTTTTCCCGACTTCTTTTACTTCTGTCCCGTTCTCTGTTTTCTTTTGATTAGTTCCCATTGCCGCTTGACCTATGTGTCGCCTCTAACATTAGACACTTCTTGCCCACCTATTTCTTCCTTTTCAATATTGCCCACACCAGCAACACAATGAGTATTTTTTTTTCGCCAAACTTGCTAATGTCCTTGTTCTAGACAGCATGCCCATATCGTGGTTGAGTAGTACCGAGTTTTCAGCAACAATGCTCATCTAAGTGGCTTCTCTGATATATTCGCCTCTTCTAAAGCCACCCATACGGGTAAGTAGAGGGATCGTTTTATAGAACGCCCATAGAATATTTATCGCTAACACATAATTCTTAGGGTTCTCCAAAATGGAGAAATTTTCGATGGTGGTGTTAAATATGGTGGCGCCAGCTGGCACATGAACTTCGTGATTATGACCACACATTCCTTGTGATTCTAATGGAGGTACCAAGTAAGTTCTTCCATAATATATTGGCACATGATAACCCTGTTTCTATTTCATACTTTCCATTCGTGTCTCCTACCCCTATTTCGTGGTCTACAGTGACTATTCATCAGTTGGAATAGTGATGGGATACACATTTCATAAAATTATAACTGACAATTGCTCTTCTTTCAACGTCTAGGACATAAACTACACACCCTATATTATGCTTCTTGAATCAGTTATTTATCTAACCGACGAAGAATCCCTCCACGCCATGCTAAGGTTTTTTTAACCAACTTGGGACTGCAGGTATCTATCTATAAAAGATATAATAACCCCTTGGAGGCTATCGATATTGTTAAAGGGCAACACAACACGACTATCCAGATGACCACCGGGACTTCAATTTCACATAAATAATGTGACCTTTGAAGAGTACATACCATATATTTGGTTCGTATTCCATTTAATGCGGGCGATGCAAGGAACGGAAGGCCTACATACACTTAACCCCATAGCCGCGGACGCCCACGTCTCTAGGTGTGAGGGTGGAGGGGGTCGGGGCTGATGAGGAGCATGCCTCCATACGCCAGAAGGTTCACAGGAAGGAGGTGGCCGGCCATAACCAGATCAGCGAACTTTCATCCGCCATCATGGCAAGAAAATAGCCTCGCAACTCAACCAATACGCCTAAAATTACCACATTATCACCTTTAATCGCCAAATTAATCACCAAGTAACTCGACACATAAGATTAATTCCTGCCAAAAGGGTGTATTACTATGAAAAGAGGAGTGTAAGGGGAAAAGCTATCAAAATACAAGCAACACAACTAGCATATTAGCCACTGATTCTGATTCGATCATGATGATGTTGGCCGTGTGGAGATGGAAAATGAACTAAAGTACATAAGACAAAAGGACAAGTATGGCCAACTGGCCCATGCTAGATAGACTTAATCTATCCTAGTCCGTGTCATGAAATGGATCAAAGAAAAAAGATGGTGAAAGGGGGGAAAGGAGAAGAGACCAGAGACAAGGTTGTGGGATATTCTCGGTTGATGGCTGATCAAGCGCCACCTGAGTCCCTATTAACAACTCATTTGCCTAATGTCGATGAGTATCAAAGCAAAAAGAAATTGCAATAACTTCAGTCTATGTCCTGAGTTACCACAAAAGCAATAATGCAAATCTTTCGGATCTCCGAAGTTTCTTTGTGCACAATGCCCGGAATACATGGTTGAGTTGGCAAAGTGATATGTTCAAGAGTTCTCGGATCGTGTTCGGGTGATACCAAGTCGCTGCACAATTCCAGAGCTGTGCTTGGTGGGAGTGGCCACATCTTCACCACCATCGCCATTGTGATCAGCACCAGAAGCACCCTGGGCAGCTCCCATGGGAGAGGGAGAGTATCCACCGCCGTAATACATGGCTGCGAAGTTGGGGTCCTGGAGATAAGGGGTCATCCAAGAGTAGGGTGTGTGATAGTACGAAGCCAAGGGGCTCAGCATTCCCGGGGTGGCCTGCGGAGTCGCCGGAAAAGTTTCAGTGCCAGCCGGAGGGTTTGCCTGATACGAAGGTCCGCCATAGGATGACGGGGTCGAATAGTTCTGGTCTGCGAGGGGCGTCATGCCATAGGCGCTGCCTTGAGGCACCTGAGAAGAAGATGCAGGAGAAGGTGCGGCGGTATCTACCACAGCAATGTGCGACGGGGTCGCGGGTTCGGACGGCAGATTAGCCATGGACTGCTTCTGGCCCTCAATGTGCTCGCTACGAACAGGGGTGTTGGCAGCACTAGAGAGCATGGTTCTGGACTGCATGTGACGAATACCCTGGGGCTCTCGACTAGCTTTACGCTCTACGCGAAGCACACATCCACGCATAACCCTTCCATTCTACAGCATAAAAGTCAGTCAACTAGAACCAAGAGGTGTATAGATTCGTCATCTGTCAGAGAGCTTACCAAGTGTTTTACGGCAAGATCCGCCATGTCGGGGCGGGCAAACTCAACGAAACCAAAAGCGATAGGAGCCTGACGGCCTGAGAGCGAGTCCGGTTAGCATCGGTCTCTCCCTAGAAATGAAGGACTACGAACCAGTTCTGCCATCCTTCTGGACGATTTGCACCTTCTCAACATCGCCCACCTCACTAGCCAATCTAGTAAGAAGCTCTTCGACATCAAAATCATCTACCGGGAGGCCGCCAACATAGACGGAACGGCGGTCGATCTCATATCGCTGGAGCCAAGCTTCATCAGGATCGATCTTGGGAGCCTGCATTGATTTCTTGAGATCATAGGCGATGACACGGTACAAAGGATGATGACGGTATGCCTGGAGCTCTGTTAGCGGACTGCGGACTGACAACATGGCTAAAGCAGGAGGTTACGTACAGAAATGACATCTCTGCTGGGGTCAAAGTTGGTGAACTCAACCAACACGCCACCCTTGATTCGCATAGCTTCCTGTATCTGAGGGTGAAGTTCCTCGCACTTGCTGAAGGGGCCAAAACCGCTGAGATGAATACGGGCCTCATCCAGGGTGACATCATCACCAAGAGCATTGTAGATGACAAAGCTACCTGGGTGTCAGTTAGCATTGACATACTTCTATTGCTAATAAGGGGAATTTTGCTTACGGTTCGCCTTAACCATCTCGGTGCGGCAAGGGCGGCCTTCGATCAGGATTCCACGACCCTGAGT